ATGCTAGTTTGCTTTCAATCAAATGATTTTAAATGTAAAGGCTACAGTGTTAGCTCTTTTATTTTATTTACGGAATAAAGCATGAATTTTATTTAGATTAGTCTTAGCTTTATTTAAGGGAAGCAAAATGCTTTGCCTTTATCACCACTGCCAACAGGGTTATGGGCCCAGCGCCAACAGCTAATCAGTCATCCAGTTCAACTCAGCATTGAAGGAATGTAGGTGAAGAGGGCCGTTATCCACGAAAAGAAGCTGACCTGTCTTAGAAGTTTGTTCAAGTCGTTGTGCTCACACTTAATTGAAGATGTCATTACTACCTGAAGGTTTTGAGTTGTTAAACCATGACAACTGGGATCGATGGAAAGTCGACATGAAAATGCTGTTACTGGATAGAAATTGTTGGAGCTTCATAGAGGACAAAGAAGAAGAATTAGATAAAAGTGCAACAAGGCGTGAAAAGCAGGAGTTCACACTGAGAGAGAACAGAGCCTTCACTACATTATATTACGGAATTAAAGCTGAGTTCAGGCCGCTGATACAAGAATGTTCAAGTGGTAAAGAAGCATGGGAAGTTCTACAGAAGCAATTCGAACCCAAAACAAGAGCAAGGATAATTCAGTTACTGGATGAATTTTTTAGTATTAGATATACGCCAAATGAAGAAATAGGATTATTTATCGCGAGGATAAGAATGACTGCAAAGAAGTTGGCTGAAGCTGGTCACAACTTGGCAGATCTTTTTAAAGGATTCCAGGCAATAAGGAGATTACCCCAGGAATACTCCGGCATTGTACAGTTGATCTATAGGTGGAAGAACGAAGATTTTACGCTGGAAAGAATTGCTGAAGAGTTGGTAAGGGAAGAAAGCCGACTTTGCCAGGTAAATGCCGATTTAGAAGACAACAAGATAAGCGTGTTTAATACTATTGATTCAAATGCAGAGAAAGATAAAGTTGAAAATAAAACTAAATCTAAGAAAAAAATGGGGAATATGAGAATAGGACCTTGTTTCAGATGTCATAAATTTGGGCACTTAATCGCTCAATGTAAAGAAAATGTAAGTAAAAATCAGAAGTTTAAAATAGACGATAAAAATGGACAGTTTAAAGATAAAGAATTAATGTTAGTAGAAAATTATGTAACAACTACAGATAAAGGAGGTAACGCAGATAAATTTAATTGGGTCGTAGATACTGCAGCTACAACTCATTTCTGTAATAATAGAAATTTAATGACAAATTTCGAAGAAATAAACGATATACGTATGTCTTTAGCTGTAGGAAATTGTGAAAGTAAAGTACTAGGAAAGGGTACTGTCAAATTTGCAGTAAAAGTAGGCAATCGAATAAATTGGATTGAGTTAGATAATGTGTTATATAATCCAAATCTAAGAAGAAATTTATTATCGGGAGCAAGGTTAGAAAAGGCTGGTGCTCATTTTGTGATTTCAAAAGGGAAGATGTGGATATACTTTAATAATTGGGATAGATTATGCTACGCTAAACGATATGACGGACTTTATCACGTAAAACCATTTAGATATGCAACAGGTAAAAGGGAAGCTGGTTACGGTACAGAAATTGGAAAGTTAAATAAAGTAGATGATGCAATGCTATGGCATCGAAGATTTAGCCACGTAAATTTTGATTATGTTAAGAAAACTAGTAAGAATCAAAGCGTGAAAGGGTTACCAGAAATTGAAAAACCAATAGAGAGGTGTGAACCGTGTATTATTGCTAAATCTAGTAGAATAACTTTTAAAACTGTTCCGAAGAGATCGGATAAACCATTGCAGTTGGTTTATTTAGACGTTTGTGGCCCACTACCAGTTCCATCTAAGGGTGGGAGTAAATATTTTCTTGCTATTGTAGATGACTATAGTAGATTAGTAACAGTGTATTGTATGAAAAATAAAAACGAATCGTTCTACAACTTTAAGAATTATCATAGGCTGGAAAGACTGACGAATAGAAAATTAATAAGTATACGCACCGATAATGGGTGGGAATTCTGTAACAGGCAATTCGAAGGGTACTTAGCCGAAAATGGAATTAGTGTTGAACGCACAAACGCGTACACCCCAGAAGAGAACGGTGTGTGTGAACGTTTTAACCGAACGGCATTAGACGCAGTTAAAGCTATGCTTAATGATGGTAAAATGGGAAAAGAATGGTGGGCAGAAGCTCTTGGCTGTTTCGTACATACGTGGAACAGAGTATGTCATAAAAGCAACCGAACCCCTTATGAAATGTTCCTAAATAGAAAACCCAGTGTTGTTTATTTTAAAATATTTGGTTGTAAAGCCTATGTTGGCGTGCCAAAACAGATTAGAAATAAATTACAAATGAGGTGCAAAGAAGGAATCATGGTAGGATATGCGAAGGAAACTAGGGGTTATAGGATATGGCTGCCAGAAGAACGCAGATTAATAGAAACCTGTAATGTGAAGTTCGATGAAAAACTGTAAATGCAGCAAATGGCATCCTGGAACAGAAATCAAAACCTAAATTTAAAAGACTAGAGGAATCTGAGCTATTAGCAGAATCAGATGAAGAACAGGAAATTTCTAGAGAAGAAATAAAGTTGTCAGATGACAAATCTACTCCCGAAAGAAGTATCAGACTTAAACTGGTAAAGAAAAGCAGTTAAAAGGCCAGACGGAACACGTACAGACATATATTATTATGTAGAGGGAACAGACACCCGTTTTAGATCCTATAATGATATTGATAAGTATTGTTGAGGCAAGAAATATTAAATTTGAAAAAGATAAGTTCGATTTTAGTGGAAAAAAACAAATGCTCGGGGAAAGTTAATTTTGTAGAACAGGAGACTAGTTCCGTGTCTGAAGAGGCAAATTCCATAGAAATAGTTATCCCACAAAATTTTAAAGAAGCACGAAAATCAGTAAATGCCGAAGAATGGGATAAGGCAATGAAAGAAGAAATTGACACAATAAAGAAAAGAAAGGTTTGGGAATTAGTCGAAAAGCCAGAAAATAAAACTATGATAGGAAACAAATGGGTCTATATGCTAAAAAGAAATGAAAAGAATCAAGTGGTTAGATACAAAGCACGCTTAGTAGCACAGGGATTCAGGCAGAAAAGAGGTGAAGATTTTGATGACGTTTACAGTCCTGTAGTAAATTTTTCAATCATAAGAATATTTTTCACTATACTGGTATGTTTATATGGATGGACTAATTGTCAGTTAGATGTAAAGAACGCATATTTATATGCAAACCTAAATGAGAAAATATATATGACCCAACCAGAGGGATTTATCGAAGAGGAAAATAAAGTGTGTTTATTACACAAGGCCATTTACGGTCTACATCAAAGCGGCCGTGAATGGTTTTGTGAATTTGAAAGTACTTTAGAAAATCTACATTTTAAGAAAATACAATGGTGTAATTGTGTTTATAAGGTTCAAATGTAATTCTCTTGTTATATGTAGATGATATTGTGATTTTTAGTAAAGATCAATATCAAGTATATATAAAGTAATTTTTCACAGCTGAGTAAGTTTTTTGATCTTAAAGTATTAGGCAAAACTAAAACGTTACTTGGAATTGAATTCTTAGAGAATGAGAATGGGGTTTTTATACATCAGCAAAAATATATCGAAGAAATTTTTGAAAAATTTAAACATTTCCAGATACCAATAACTTCACTTCCCATAGCTAAAGGCACTATTCTTACAAAATTAGATTGTCCATCTACAAGTGCAGAAATTGCGGAAATGCATACATTACCCTTTAGAAATCTGTTAGGATGTTTAGTTTTTGTAGCTAACAGGACAAGGCCTGATATTACATATGCAGTGAATATCTTATCACAATTTCAGGAGAATCCTGGAATTAGGCATTGGGAAGCATTGTTGAAATTGCTTGGTTATCTCAATAGTACTAAATTATATAAGTTAAACTTATCGAAGATTAAACATCTAAATTTATATTGTTATTCAGATGCTGATTATGCAAGTAATAGAGATGACCGCGTGTCCATGGGAGGATTTATATTTAGATGAAGTACCGGTAATCTGGAAAACTGTTAAACAAAAATGTGTAAGTTTATCAACCATGGAAGCGGAGTATATCGCCTTATCGGAGGCAGCGAAGGAATTAATGTGGACGAAAAATGTCTTACAAGATGAAATTTTAAAGTTTAATTTAAGAGAGTGTAAACTATTTTGTGATAACAAGTCTGCCATTGATTTTTCTAGATCGCCAATAGAAAATCGCCGAACTAAGCACATAGACATAAAATATCACTTTATTAGAAGACTAGTAAATGATGGAGTGTTTGACCTTGAATTTATCACCAGTAAATTAAATACTGCGGACTTATTTACAAAAGCGGGCGACTGCTGTTAATTTAAGGAAAGTTTTGTTTAGATGTTTTCAGTGTTTAAAGACAATAAGTGTTTTCGTATAATAGAATTGAACTATGAACTTCTGTGCAAGTTTTGTTTTTGTCTTTGCATGAGGAAAAGAGGGCCGTTTGTTGGCTTTAGTTTTTCCACATGCAAATTTTGATCGGAGGTCAATCGGCGGTAAGCTAACGTGGTTGCCGCTGATTGGCCGATGACGTCAAGATCGGCGGGTTGGCCGAGTATAATATATATGTACGCCGGTATCGGCGAATTTGTTCTTGTTCTCTTGGTGATTATGAGTTAGCATTAATGCTAGTTTGCTTTCACTCAAATGATTTTAAATGTAAAGGCTACAGTGTTAGCTCTTTTATTTTATTTACGGAATAAAGCATGAATTTTATTTAGTTTAGTCTTAGCTTTATTTAAGGGAAGCAAAATATGCTTTGCTTTATCACCACTGCCCAGCAACCCTAAGACTTTACGATGTAATTACTCATTTTTATTTCTATAGTATATTATTATTTACTAGAGAGGTCTAGAAAAAACCTCAGACAAATATAAAAAGAGCAAAGACGACCGAACAGAGAAAACAAATTGCAGCTAAAATGAAAAAAATGGCTTCACAGAAAAGACGAACCATCAAACTTTGCCTCAACTTCCAATGATGACGAGATTCTAAAGGATATTTCTTGCAATTTGCATAAGCAAGATGAAGAATCTTCATCTATCATCCTTAAACAGACTACATTTCAGCAACTGAGAGAACAACCTTCTTCATCAACCTCAAATGAACATCTAATGGACGTAAAATTAGGGTATAAAGAATCTTCTCATTTAGGTGAGAGTGGGCAGCAGAAAGAAGACTTAAAAACTTTTGATTTGTTGGACCCAGGAAGTTGGCCAATCACAGAAAAAATGAAGGATCAGCAACGATCTTTCTTAAGCAGTCAGGCTGTATTATTAGCAAAAAAGCATCCAGAAAATATAGACCTTAGGTCCACTGAACAGGATGGCAGACATTTAACTTCTTCATTGTGGTACAGAACATTAGCAAATAGTGAAAAGTTTAAAAGATCTTGGCTTGTATATTCTAAACCTAAAAATGCAATTTTTTGTTCACCCTGTAAGATTTACCAGAAACATGCCACTGCCACTACATCAGCATTGTGTACTACAGGATTCATTAATAGGAAAAAAAGCTTCAGAAAGGTTAACTGAGCACAAAGCATCTGAAATCCACCGAGAGTGCATGATTAAGTGGAAAATTCGACTACAACAAATGAAATCATGTCAAGGCATCGATCGTGACATTGAACGACTAATTCACACAGAGAAAGAAAAGTGGAGAGAGATCCTGCACATAGTTATGGATGCTGTATTGTACCTTTCAACAAACTGTCTTTCTGCCAGGAACTTGCCATTTTTAAAGAACAAGCCTCAATGCTATTCAGTGACATAAAAAAGGCCAGCGCTTTCAATCTCTTGCAACAGATCTACACCTATGATTTGCAGGATGCTTTTTACAATATTTGTATTGCACTGCGGATTTACTCTACACTTCCAACTACATCCGCAAGCTGTGAACAAAGTTTTGTGTGTGTGTGTGTGTGATTATGGCAAAGCCTCGAGGGCTATCTGCCTAAGATGAGGGATGCCTTCGTGGAGGACTTTCTAAGGGAAACTGGCCCGTATACACATTACACATGGGGAAAACCACGAAAACGCCCATGCAGCCAGCCCGTTCGCGGGATTCGAACCTCGGACCGAACTACCAGTGTTTTGCGACTTTACCGCTCGGCCGCTGGTGGGCTCTATGTGAACAAAGTTTTAGCAAATTAAAACTTATTAAAAACTATCTGCGATCATCGATGAGCCAGGAGCGTTTGTCAAGTCTCGCAATTCTGGCAATCGAAAATCAAGCAGCACATCAAATTAATTATAACGATACCATAGACTTATTTGCAGAACAAAAGGCTCGCAGAGTAAAATTTTAATCCCATAATACTTTAAGAGCGTTGTAACTAAATATTATTTTTATTTATGACTGCATATTTGATTGAACGTTAGAACTTACTTATTTAAGTATGTTATTGATAAAAAAGAATTTCATTATTCATTGCATTAGTAATTTGTAACATGTATATATTCATTTAAGCTATTATTAATAATGAGCCATTTCTATTTTTCGTAATATGCTGAACTGCTTTAGTATTTAGTATGAATTATTTTCCATTAATTTGACTAGTTATTATTGCAAATATTACAAAACTGCATATTTCAGAGAAAATGTAAATTTGATTATTACAGTGCCAAAATAGTCTTTTCTGTGAATATGTAAATATTTATTATCTTGTCGGGCTGTGAGAAGACGATAATAGAGTTCTTGAGTAGCCTACATAAAGGTGTTATAGTGAAATGAAATTTTAAAGTGCCAGGTTAAAACTGCTGTTAATTTAGAAAAACTAGTGCGCTAATTATTGAATCCATTTCATTCGTGATTTATAACTTGTATATATTTGTTTAAGAAAAGTAATTGGTAATGTATCATTTCTATATTTTGTACTATGCAGAACTGCTTGAGTATTTGGTATTGAATCGTTTTCCATTAGTTTGGCTAATTATTGTTTCAAATATTGCAAAACTGCGTATTTCAGAGAAAATGTAAACTCGTTTATTACAGTGCAAAAATAGTCTTCTGTGTGAATATGTAAGTATTTACTACGTTATCGGGCTGTGAGAAGACGATAGTAGAGTTCTTGAGTAGCCTACATAAAGGCGTTATAGTGAAATGAAATTTTAAGTTGCCAGGTTAAAATTGTTGTTAATTTAGAGAAATTAGTGTGCTGATTATTGAATCCATTTCATTTGTGATTTATAACTTAAATACATTTGTTTAAGATATCAATTAGTAATGTGCATTTCTATTTTTTGTACTATGTGGAACTGCTTTAGTATTTAGCACTGAATCGTTTTCCATAGTTTGGCTAATTATCGTTTCAAATATTGCAAAACTGTGCATTTCAGAGAAAATGTAAATTTGATTATTACAGTGCAAAAATGTCTTTTGTGTGAATATGCTAGTATTTATTATGTTATCGGGCTGTGTAGAGTTCTTGAGTGGGCTACATAAAGGCGTTATTGTGAAATGAATTTTTAACGTACTACATTACAGTTACTGTTAGTATAGAGAAATCGGTATAAAATTATTCAATCCATTGCATTAGTGATTTGTAATTTGCTTATATTTATTAAAAATTTTTTTTATTATTTAATAATGCGTTATTCCCATTTTTGTACTGTGCTGAATTACTTTAGTGTTTAGTATTGAATCGCTTACTATTTGTATCATTTATTAGTATGAGTAGCTATTGTTGCAAAATATTGAAAAAAATGCCTATTTCAGGAAAATGTAAGTTTGATTATTTCAGAGCATTGATTATTTAGGAGAGTTTGCATGAGTTTTAATTATATAACATTTGGTATGTGTGTCGGGCTACTGGCGGCTGAGCGTCTGAATACTGGTAGTTCGGTCGAGGGTTAGAATCCCAGTGACTTAGCTGGTTGTGTGGGCATTTCCGTCATTTCGCTCATGCGTAATTTGCATACGAGCCAATTACTCTTAGAAAGTATTCAGTGAAGGCATCTTTTCTCTTAGGCAGATAGCCCTCTTATGCTTTGCTGTAAATAAAGAAACTAAACCATTTGTTATGTACATTTTTTTTATAATAAAAATGGCATATAAAGAATTTCTAACTATAAAATAGATTTTATATTTTATCTCAAACCGTACTTATTTCTATGCTTATTAAAAAATTAAAATTTGTTACAACAACTTAAAGGAAGCTGGGTGAGGGCGGCAGTTTTGCGTTTTTGCCCCACCTAAGAAAAATGCTAAATCCGGTGCTGGGCAAGTGTAGTGTGTAGGGACATGGAATGCACTGCCTAGGGATGGCACAAGTGTAGTGTTTAAACTGCAATTAGAGCACAACTGTAGTGTTTACGGATGTGAGTGTAGTGCCAGCATGATTGCGCACATGATGTAGGAGAGAAGCAGGCAGTTGTGCTTTCGATTGAGTTGATGCAGCAGTGCGTGTGAGGGCATCATGGCAGTCACATTGCAAAATTCGATGACTGAGGAGCTGCAAAGTGTTATCAGATTTCTGATTGCAAAAAGGGTTAAACCGCCCAATATTCACTGCTGGATGATGGCCGGATATGGGGGAGACTGTGTGTCCGACTAGTCAGTGAGAAAGAGGAGTGCCCATTTTCATGAGGCTGGGAGTGTTTGAGTGATGACCTGAGACCAGGCCAGGCAAACATGGTAATCACAGTTGAACTCATCAACAACATGAACTACCTGGTAAAAAGTGATTGGAGGGTCACAGTGAGAAAAGTGGGACAGCATACAGTAGAAGTGTGCGTTGTCACCTCCCCTTAAAAAATTCAAAGATGAGCCCTCAACAGGCAAGGTGATGCTCACCATCTTTTTCAACATCTGAGATCTGCCACTCATTGAATTCCTCGAGCACAGAGAGATCACTAACAATGCAGTGTGAGACACACCACAGCATACACAAGTCCACCAAGAAAAAATGTCCTAGGCTGCTGCTCATGAAGGGACTGATTCTGCTCCACAATAACGCATGTTTACACATCTCCAAGGTCACACAATGTGTAATGGCCAAGTGGGAGCAGCTTGAACATCCACCCCTACAGCCCAGACATGTCGCCCTGTGACTTCCATGTATTTTGTCCACTAAAAAATGTCTCAAAGGGAAGCACTTCAACTTGGACAATGAACTGAAAGACACAGTGGAGGACTGGCTTCTGTCACATCCACAGGAATTCTGAGAACAGGGATTCCTTTAGCTCGTGAACCAGTGGAACAGTTGTACTCAGGCGATTACTTGTGAATAAAGACTTCAATTATACTCACAGTGTCATTTCGTACCTTTGCATTTAAACACCCCTCATAGGTTAAAAAAATTACCATATTTGGTAACAAATCACATTTCTTGTTCTTAAGCCTCAGGAAATCATTTCATATCCAGTAAACAAACAGAGTTCTCAGTTTTTAAATAACTCCAACTGTTCAATGTTAGCCACATAAAAAAAAAAAAAAAAAAAAAAAAAAAAAAAAAAAAAAAATTAAAAGGCATTTATAAAAGCACAAACTGCATTGGTTTTGGAAACTATAAGGGGAAATAAACAAAATTTAGAGAACTTTAGAACAATTATTGAAAACTGAGAAAATTTAGACTTTTCATGAAATTAAGGAACATTGAAGTAACTCCAACCTTTGATAGTAAGTACAGGGTTCATACACATTTCTGCACTTGGAAATTAAGTACTTTTAAGGACTTTAAAGAACCATTAATGAAAAAAATTTAAGGAACCACCAACAAATGGGAACTAAATAAATTCAAATAAGATATTAGCTATCCTGAACTTCACTTTTGTAATAATACCATTCTAAGAATAAAATAGATCCACAAGTGGAATGCATTATTATTAAACATAATTACAAAACAAATTTGAGAATAAAATAAACTTTATAAAATATTTATTTATATACAGCATTAAATATTTCACCCTTATTATAGACAGACATATTTGAAAGAAGATTAGTGACATTTTATTTAACTTTTTTTAACAGTTAGCTTAACATTAATTTTTTTCTTTTATGTCTCATTTTACCATATAGTTGCTCAGTTTAGAGGTTTAGTAAATAACAAATCAATTTCATGTCAAACGGCATAGGTTAAAATGAAAATGAAAATCATAATTGGCATAATTTGTTTCAGAAGACTGGTTGTTGCCACAACTGCTGCTTGCCTAGAGAGAGGCCTACTGATCAGAACTAACTTGAAAGCCTGATATTGGCACGGTTGGCAAGTTTTTAAAGTTAGTTGTGCTCTACCTGTCTAACGGAGTTAGTGTCATAATTCCATGTAGAGTTCCTGGGGTTCTAACTCAGTTAATATATTTTAAGGTTCTAATAAGGCACTAAAGCACCAAAAGTGATAAGTTCTTTTGTATTAAGTCTTCCACTAGATACAAAGAATTGAGTTTCACATTAACTTTTACATTTTTGTGCTGTATCTTATGACCACGTTAAAGATTAATGAAAGGCAACAACTCCCTTTAATATGCAAAAATAACTTTTAAGGGTGACCAGCTAGTTACAAATAATTCAATAGATAGTTAGATACCCTTAGTCATTATAGATTTACATGGCCACTATTTAATTCATTTTTTAAAAATATTTGTTACAAAAGTACTATTAAAATCACAATCTATTAACATGTAACAGTTTAAAATTAACGTAATTTATGATATAGATTCTTGTACGACATTAAGATAACTGCACCTTAAAAGCTACAAAACATTTACGCTTTGTAAGAACAATATTCAACAAAATATTTATGCATCTTTTTAATATGAAGCCTTTCCAGACATTCTGGCTAGTTTATATCAATTTCCTTCTCTTTAAGCATCTTTTCTAATTATTAGAAATTTGTTTCAATATGCAAAACAATATTTCCACTGGTTTCTGATTGTTTATCTCCTAACTTGTCCTATGTACCTATGAGGTTTTACTTGATCTGATAAAAGCTAAATAATCCAAAACCCCTGACAGATGTGAAGCAAATTATCACTATGACTGAAGTAGCTACAAAGTCAGATAAAGGTTTAAATAAACCTCTTATTTAAAAAGACCTTAAATGATAAAGGCATGTTCTTATGCTAGCAAAATCAACTACAGCTTATGGTGATCCAATTAATCAGGAACTGTCAGATTAAAACTAAAAATGTAGACTAGTAGTCAAAGACCTACACAATTTAATTTTAATCTAAGCCGGCTCAGAACACATCGTAACAACCTCGTAACTGAGCAAAATGCAGTTATTGTGCAACAAATGCAAAGATGAATATAACGCAAAGAAGAATAATTACAAATTACTAGAGCTGGTAAAAACTAATGCAGTGTGCAAGCGAAGGCCAAAAACAAATTCTTTCTTACAAGCCAAAAACCTTAGTTTAAAAACTATCTAAGTGATTTCCATTCTGGTGAGGAAATGGAAAATTATAGCAAAGGCTGAAATTGTAAACAACTGCTTAATTTACATAATAAAAGCTGTACATATCTTTGAAGAATAATTTTCCTTTTTTTATGTATTCAGTTTCTTCCTTCAATATGTTTTCCTTTCATTTTAGAATTTTTGGATTTCATTAAAGATTTCTGTTATGCTAAAAAACTAAATGCATTTAGAATGTATAAGAAAAGACGCTAATTTTATTTCTTTAGTACTATGAACAATCAGAATAAATATGAAATGATATATGATATGGGCCAGTTACAAAGGAGGTGTAGCAGAATTTTTAGAATTTAGTGACACACCAAGCAACAAAATTGAGAAAAGGCAAAATTTCAGAATTTAGGAAGGCACTAGGCAGCAGAATTTAGGATCCAGAGCGACTGCATTAGGAGAGAAAATGCGTAGTGCCAGCCCTGTGTATGCACAAGGCCGTAGCTAGGGGTTTCAACACCTGGGGACAACTGAAGATTTTGCATCCCTTTCTGTATGCCAAGAATGAAAAACATTTCATTTTAAAATTCTGTAATATCACTTTGGGCCCCCATGGATGCTGCACTCAGTGACAGATTCCCCCCTTGCCCAACGCTAGCTACGCAACTGATGATGCATTGAGACATATAAGATGAATCTTTTAAATTGTCAGTTTTCAATTCCTTTATTAATAGAAAAATTCCTTTCGATAAATGCCTGTCCATGCGATAAGATTAGAAGCACTTTTGATATTATCCATGCTTGTGTCTAGTGAAAAGTAGAGAAAATAAAGGAAAGATAAAAATGTTAAGAAAAAGACTTCTAGTACCAGAAGCAAAACATTCAATTATTATGTACTCATTATTCTTTCAAAAAGAAATTCATCGCAAACTCTCTGTAAAATACATCCATTATGTGTTAATACCATGAAGACATTTTTCATCTTGTGACATTTTTCTGGAATCTTCTAGAATTGTGGATCTATAAATCTTGCCTTGATAGCCTTTTCAAACTTTCCAAGTTGCGATGTCTAAAATCCTAAAAAAGAATTAACCCCTACCAATTCTGTAACAGCAAATATGTTGAAAAAAAATCAAAGGGAAAAAGTGTAAAATTAATTTTATAGAGAACAGTGATTTTGAGATAATTACATGGGAAAACTCTTACCATGAAAAAATTAGAATGAAGGTATTTTTAATTAATTACATAGCTATTTTGCTTTTGCTAAAGCCCAATTTAAGCATTTATTACCTTGTTTATTTTTCAGATTAAAAAAAAAGTCACCAAAAGCAATGTCACATTATAATATGATAGCAAAAAATAAAAATGTTTCACTTTAATGTTATTTGTTGAATACAATTTCAATATATTAGCATTTTTTAATGAAATTGATCAATGTTACAATGTTTTTAAAAAAATATCATTGAAAAATTCCCAGATTTTCAAATTAAAATTTTCTATGTTGCCAAAATGTTGCCAAGTCGCCAAATTTGGAATCCTTTAATAAAGAATTCACATTTCCGAAAGCAAAAAGTTGTTTAAGAGCTCTTCATTAGAAACAATGAAATAATTTCGAAATGCATATGTTTCACTTCTTGCTCAGAAACTTGAGTATTCCACTAGTTATATTAGAAATAGGAACAAATTATAATCCATCAATGTATTCATCCATTCAAAAGACATTTATCAATGCATCGCCAAATATATTTGTCCAAAAGGCTAATTCCCATCCAAAATGGCAGTCGTAAAAGCAGACAGAAATTTCAGATGATTAAAATTAAGGACCTAATGCCAAATTTGGTTGAAATTAAGGACTTTTAAGGACCAAAAATTGATTCTAAAAAACCGAAGAACTTCTAAGGACCGTATGAACTTGTATCTATGACTTCCAGTATATTCAATACTGATCCATCTTCACAATTTCTGTTTCGCAAACATCATGACTATAGTGTATCAGGCTCTCGATTAACTCAGCTCTTCTGATCATTGCACAAATGTGTGAAGTAGTAAGGAAGAGTCCACTTACTCCAAAAGTAAATTAAGCATGTAATTAATATATGGTATAAGGGGCATTATTTAGCACAGTTGCATGGTATCTCTATAGCACTGCTGCCATTATTAAAATTCTGATCTTTGTGCACAGTGTTTGTTACTTTACACTGTTAATTTAGCGTGTTTTTTTTTTTTTTTTTTTTTTAATTCAATCTCTCTTTATTTCCTATAGAATCAGTTTGCAAGTTAAGAATAAATAATGGTGCTTGCATATTAGGAAAACTTTCTGCACCAATGGACTTTACAAGTCCAATCTGGTAGCAATACAAATACTAATAGTTAGTTGGTCAATCAGTTTTGATAAAGCATGAGGAGGTATCTGCCAATGATTTTATTTCTAACACTATTTCATCACTTCCTACTTTCTAAAGACAAAAAATTGACTGATGTTAATTATCTCGACTACTCTCTCACCAATATAAAATAAATAAACTATAACGTTTCTAAATGTGATCTCGCTTTCATTAAATCAGTTTCCTACCTTTATTCTCATCCTCTATCTGCAATCTTCAAATTTATTATTAAGACAATGTGCTGTATTTCTGCACACTGTCTTAAAAAATGCAAAATTTCACTGCATTATTAGAACTGTCTTAAGTGCTCAACAATTTTCTATGCTTCTGAAAACATGTTGAGCTTCTATTTCATTACATAGCTGGACAACACCGAAGTTAATATAAGACTCAGTATATATTTAAAAGAAAGAAAAGATTGAGGACATGATTACACTATCATATGTAAATATCAACTAAATTTTCTGATAATAGTTAACAGATAAATAATGAATTACAAAAATTGTTATTACTGATACCATTTTAAAACACAAATCACATGCATAAAAAAGAGGAAAAGAAAAAACTTCAGTTTGTCCAGATGATGTTATTTTATAAATAACTTAAAAAGCAATATGTTTCAAAATACTCTGATATTAAAGACACAATAACACACCAAACAAATACTAATTCAGAAGTCAAACAACAAAAATCAGCATTATATTTTCAAATTTTCACAGGACTAGTTTCGATAGTTTTACCGAACCACCATCCTCAGCTGCAAAAGCGCAAATGAACGAGATAGGATATAATGATTAGATAAGATAAGAAAGCCTGGACAGAAAATAAGCTAGTGGCACCATCTGTTGATGAAACTAAAACATAATTTCTTTAAAGGCCGAAGACAATTAATTGAATTGGAATTAGGATCGTTAACTAGAACAGAAAGATTTATTTTGAATGTGAAATGCCTCTAGAAAATCCAGTTCTCCAATGGAATATGCTTTTTGAATAATTCTGGCAGCAGAAAAATTGAAAGTGTGATTTTCGGACCAACAATGTTGGGCAACAGTGTTTCCTTTTTTCTAACATAACATATGCCTCATGTTCCTTGACGTGAAATTTTAAGGCTCCCTTAGTTTGGCCAATGTAAATTAAACCACATTGGCAAGGAATCCTATAAATACCCCAGGAATTCATATCCGGAATGGGGTCCTTGAGTATGGAACTCGGAATTTTATTGATGGGAGAATAAACAACCCGAAAGTTAAATTTCTGCAAAATATGTGCAACTTTATAGTTGATTGATGGAAAGAAGAGAATGACAACAGAATCTTTATAATCTCTTAAAACAAGAGCGTGACTTTTAGTGTGTTAACATGAGAATTTTTAACTGCTCGATTAATAATGTTGGGTGAAAAGCCCCTATCAATAGCTATTGCTTTTAAATAATTTAGTTCTTCATCAAGGGATAGTTTGGAGGAGCAAACTTGAACAGCATGGAAAACATAGGAATAAAATGAAGCTAACTTTTGTTTAGTCGGATGACATGATTTGAAGTGCGGTGGAAGGCAAACCAATAAAGGTTTACGGTAAACCATAGTACTGAAGTTGGATGTGTTACGTGTGACCAGAATGACGAGAAACGGAAGAGAATTGCAAGTCTCAAGTTCAAAAGTGAACTGAAAAGCAGGATCAATATAATTCATCATTGAAAGAACTTTATTTAAATGGTCTTTATTACCTTCAAACAGGGTAAAAGTATCGTCTACGTAGTGGAACCATACTGGGAAGTTTAAAGTAACAAACAATTTTGATTCATAATAATGCATTAGATATCAGCCAGGATGGGACTGAGGGGGGGGGGCTTCCCATGGCTAATCCCTCAGTTTGCTTGTAATATTTATTTTGGAAAACAAAATGTGTTTGTTTCAAACAGAGTTGAGTGAGAGAAATTAGCTCATCAATTTTGAAGCAAGAGAAATGAAATTCGCGAAGTCTGGTTTCTAGACATCTTAATGCACCCTCCACATTTTGTTGCACAAACAAATTTTGCAGAAATTTAACTTCCGGGTCGTTTATTCTCCCATCAATAAAACTCCGAGTTCCATACTCAAGGACCCTATTCCGGATATGAATTCCTGGGGTATTTATAGGATTTCTTGCCAGTGTGGTATAATTTACATTGGCAAAACTAAGAGAGCCTTAAAATTTCGTGTCACGGAACATGAGGCATATGTTATGTTAGAAAAAAGGCAACACTGTTGCCCAACATTGTTGGTCCGAAAATCACACTTTCAATTTTTTCTGCTCCCAAAATTATTCAAAAAACATCTTCCATTGGAGAACTGAATTTTCTAGAGGCATTTCACATTCAAAAAAATCTTTCTGTTCCAGTTAACGATTCTAATTCCAATCCATCTTTGCCTTCGGCCTTTAAAGAAATTGTGTTTTAGTTTCATCAACAGATGGTGCCACTAGCTTATTTTCTGCCCAGGCTTTCTTATCTTATCTAATCATTATATCCTATCTCGTTCATTTGCGCTTTTGCAGCTGACGATGGTGGTTCGGTAAAACCATCAAAACTAGTCCTGTGACAATTTGAAAATATAACGCTGATTTTTGTTGTTTGACTTCTGAATTAGTATTTGTTCAGCGTGTGATTGTGTCTTAATTATAGAAGCCCCAAACAGGGTTATTTTTTGCTTTCTTTTTTCCGCGTGGTTTTCGACGTCTTGCATTTGTATGTGTTTTGAAGCAGAAAACTGCTTATTTTTCACTTCCTTTTCTGCACGTAGTGTTGCCACCATTTTGTGATACCATGGGTTTCTGTAACTACTTTTTTGCAATTTTGAAGTTCCGTTTGTGTTTCGCATATTTGGGTATTGTGATTTGCTTGTCCGATTTCATGCATTTCGGTTGCAAACATTTTGTTTTCTATTCGTTACAGTGTGGGATTTTTCTGCTGATTTGTGCGTGCTTTATTATTGTTAGTTAATTATTATTGTTAGTTAGTTTGATTTTCTGCATTGTTTATCATGCCTTCATTCATTAATCGTTTCACTAAATTATGCCTAAAATGGCAAAAATTCCTGAATCATCTTCACTTTTTACTTAAGTGTAAATGTAAAAAATTAATCCCCAATTTCATTCAAATCAAATCTAATAAAAAAACCTTCCAGTCATGTTTCAAGAATTCTTTTAAACTGCAAGCTTGCCTTACTTTGGTCCATCATAAGGGATACACGTCAACAATTGTCCAAAACCGAACATGAGCTCTATAAGTTTCATCTGGAACTCGCTAATTCATATCCAAAATTCACTGCCTTTGAACAAAAGTCTGGTCTAGAAAGGAGAATGCAGTTAACCGTCATAAAATAACCCTTGCAGTTAAATTCGAAAAACTTCTTTTACAGTCTTCCAGTTCATGTAGTTCAAAAAATCTTCCCATTGTAAACATTAAGCCAATAGTTAATATTTCTAATGTTAGTTTATTAGAAGAACAAGAGAGAATTCTAAAATATAATTTTAACTTCTCACAAACCTGTAAACCCTCGATTCCAAGATTTTGGCTCCTATCAAAAAAGCTTTCAAGTTCAGTAAAGTTTCAGATTTACAGAAAGAAATGATTAGGCATCTGATTGCTCATAATGTGAAATTCAATAATAAACCTTTGAAAACAAATCTAACTGCGAGAGAAAGAGCTACAATGCACGAAATTCATTCTAACCTGGATATTATCATTTCAAAGACCGACAAAGGTGGCCAGATAGTTGTCATGGATAAGAACATGTACATCGATGGTGTCACTAAACTCTTAAATGAAGGACCATATAATCCGATCCCTAAAGATCCTTCCCCTTCGAACCTGTCAAAAATAAAAACTGCGATCAATTCTTCACAAACCATTTCAAGCAACTTAAAACATTCGCTTATCCCGTCTGTTGTGAATTGTGCCAGATTATATGCTCTTCCCAAAATTCATAAAAGTGGTATTCCTTTCCGCCCAATTGTATCAAATTTAGGTACTGCCTCGTATCCATTAGCTAAATATTTAGTTTCTAGATTTTCAACTCTATTAGAAATAACATTTACACCATAAAAAATTCAATAGAGTTTGTAAAAAAGTTTAAAAACATTTCTCCTAGAAATTTACTCATGGTTTCTTTTGACGTAAAAATCATTATTCACCAATGTTCCAGTAGAGGGTGCATTAAGATGTCTAGAAACCAGACTTTGCGAATTTCATTTCTCTTGCATCGAAATGAGCTAATTTCTCTCACTCAACTCTGTTTGAAACAAACATATTTTATTTTCCAAAATAAATATTACAAGCAAACTGAGGGATTAGCCATGGGAAGCCCCCCCTTCTCATTTCCTTCCTGGCTGATATCCACATACATTATTATGAATCAAAATTGTTTGATACTTTAAACTTCCCGGTATGGTTCCACTACGTAGACGATACTTTTACCCTGTTTGAAGGTAATAAAGATGATTTAAATAAAGTTCTTTCAACAATGAATTCTATTGATCCTGCTATTCAGTTCACTTTTGAACTTGAGACTTGCAATTCTCTTCCGTTTCTCGACATTCTGGTCACACGTAACACATCCCAACTTCAGTACTATACGGTTTACTGTAAACCTTCATCGTTTGCCTTCCACCACACTTTAATCAAATCATGTCATTCGACTAAATAAAAGTTAGCTTCATTTTATTCCTTATGTTTTCCGTACTCTTCAAGTTTGCTCCTCCAAACTATTCCCTTGATGAAGAACTCCAAACTTATTTAAAAAGCAATAGCTTTTGACAGGGGCTTTTCACCCAATATTATTAATCAAGCAATTAAAATATTCTCATCTTCAACACAACTAAAACAGATTACATTAAAAATTGTTTTAAGGTGATTATAAAAATTCTGTTGTCATTATTCCCTTCTTTCCATCAATTAGCTATTAAAGTTGCACGTATTTTGTCAGAAATTTAACATTTCAGGGTTGGTTTAGTTCTTCCATCAATAAAATTCCGAGTTCCATACTCAAGGACCCCATTCCAGATATGAATTCCTGGGGTATTTATAGGCTTCCTTGCCAGTGTGGTTTAATTTATTTAATACATTGGCCAAACTAAGAGAGCCTTAAAATTTCGCGTCAAGGAACACAATATGTTATCTTAGAAAAAAGGAAACGCTGTTGTCCAATATTGTTGGTCCGAAAATCACACTTTCAATTTTTCTGCTGCCAAAATTATTCAAAAAACATCTTCCATTGCAGAACTGGACTTTCTAGAGTCATTTCACATTTAAAAAAATCTTTCTGTTCTAGTTAGATCCTAATTCCAATCCATCTTTGCCTTCGGCCTTTAAAGAAATTATGTTTTAGTTCTGGTTTCATCAACAGATGGCACCACTAGCTTATTTTCTGTCTAGGCTTTCTTATCTTATCTAATCATTATATCCTATCTCGTTCATTTGTGCTTTTGCAGCTTTTGTATATGGATCTTCCCATGTACATAACAACCTGTTTTTGCTTTTGCACAAACTTAGCATGATGAATAGCTTCAGCACTGCACATACTAAACATTTTATATATTATGTTATATGATACGTTACTGTTATTACCAGATCATTTTTTCTCCATGAAGCTTTACATGCAGTTACGTTTACAAGCATTTAGTTAGATTTCATGCCAACATTTATGTTTGGTGTTAATGGAAAAGCAGTGGCATGCTGTTCATGGAAAAGAACCAAGAATACTTTACAAAGAAGCAGTTTTTAATATACAAGAGCTTTTGAACTAGACTTAGTCTCTTTTTCTACTAAGTAAAATGAAATAAATATTTACCTTTCCCTTTGACTTCTTTGGCTTTTTTTCAAAAACATCTAATTCATCTCTGATGGTTTCTTCTCGTTTTGTCAAATTAACTAAAATATTTTCTAACTCAAATTGTAATTCTTGAAGATCATCAGACCCAATACAAATATTCTCTACTTGCTGCAACACTAAGAGAAACAGACACAATTTATGATACATGGTTCAAAAGTAATTATATTTCAGCTTTATTGTATAGATTAAAATATTATTGTTAACTTTTAACTGTCATATATAATAATTACTAGCCAAGAGTTGAAAAAAAGAAGCAGATTACAGATGCAAATGCAGATAACTATCAGTTACAGGCAATGGGAAGCGCTCAGTTTCAAAAAGAAAAAGACAGTTATTGATCTGCACATGCACAAGTAGTTACATTAGACAAATACACATAGTTTTTCCCTTCAGCTAGGGAAATTTTTCCTGATTTTTCATCGCCAAATATTTAATATGCTTAGAATTTTCAATCTTCCATCAACGGAAAAAAAAAATACTGCTGCCTATTTTTTTTTTTTTTTTTAGCTTGAAAAAGCATTAGCCCCGAACGGCTGTTAGACTTAGTGACCTGTTTCTATATGAAACACGTCGCCAAGTCTCAAAACAGATTTTGCATTGAACGACTATAAAAGTCTGAATCCCTTTTCAAATTGTTACCACCAAATATTATCACCCTGTATTACATTTAAAGAAATTAGACAATGAAGAATTTTCAGAAATGTATGCATGTTTTGTGAAAAAAATTATAGCATCTCGAGCCATCAAATTTTGAATAACGTAGTCCTCCAACCAAATATGGACACCTGGAAGCCCTAATTTTGAATTTCGAATTTGTTTTATAGTGTATTTCATATTTTGTTAAACTTGAACGAATGTTTGGTTAAGAAACTCAACAATTTCAAAGTCAGCAACAACAACACTGCACAGAAAAAAACATTTTTATCTCCAGCATGCAAGACTGTCTATCGAAAATTCTAAAGATAGGCTATTTTTAAATATTTTTAGCCCAAATGCTCTCCAAACATTTATGTAAATAGGGAAAAGCGTCCATTTGGTAAGATTTTATATTATGACCAAACCTTTCAGATTTTTATTTTTTATTAGTTCCTCCCCCCCCAAAAAAATATATGTATTTTTTCGGTACTTTTCCGTTTTCCCAGCGCAGGCAATAAATCTCCAATAATGGTACAACTGATGCCAAACGGAATATCCTCGCTGCTAACCTTTAACGCCTCATTTTCAAAACACATAACAGCCATTTCTCAACAGCTTGATTGTATCTTTCAATACTGGCATACAATTAATTACATAGAGTTTTTACCAGATAGTTCAGTTTTATGCCACAAGGCCATTCGCGGTAATAATCAAGTCAATTAGGATGTAATCATACCGCTCATCCAAGGGCAAAAATATAGAAAAGTCAAGGGTTAAATTCATCGATTCTAATGAGAATGCACTAGTGAAGTAAAGCACTGTGGTTTTCCATAACTTATGACTGAGTAAGCTAAGCGTACGAATTGAAATAATTCTTGCATTTAAACTTCTATTAAAATTAAGATTTAATTTGAAATTAATGTAGATAATTACTGAGAAAATTAGATTTTTGCAGTGTAGTTTACGTGAGATGAGATCAATTGGGCTCACATGATATAAACTGGCAAATCAGGATGTTGAACCATGAAAGCATAATAAACTCTTAAATTAATGTCTTTTTACAAATTTATTGCCTTTACTTATTGGCTTTTAACAAAATTTTAAATGATATTAAAATGTTTATGCCTTCAAAATAAAAAATTCTTAGAACTAACATTTGTTAACATTTTTTTATGCGTATACCGTATGTTGTCGTCAATAAAGTCTGCTTGGCGAGATTTGCGCAAACGAAATGGAAAAGTACCATTTTTTTCTTTGAAACAAATTATTGAAAATGGCTAGAGCATACATGGAAAACATGGCTATCCTAAAGTTACATTTCCATATGTTGTATGCTTTATATTTTGCTGTTCTATTTGTTGTTAAGTTTTTATTTGTATGTTTTTTATATGCTGCCTACTGTATGTATAGGTTGCAGTAACTACATATATGACGTTTATTTTTAATAAACTGCTAATAAAATTTCATTTAAAAAGAAATATAAATTTAAAATTAAATTAATTATACATATTACATAAACTGTATAATGAACTGAATAAACAGCTTGTCTGTATTGCTAAACTGTTCTTTGCCAAGACTAAAATGTGACAATACCTCTTTCTCACCAAGGCTTTATAACTGAAAAATAAACCAAATAATCAATGAATAAAACAGTACCTTTTTCCTATTAAAATTAAAAATTTTACACAGGCGCAAAGGGGGGGAAACTTCTAAACAGACTATTTAAATGAAGCGGGATTACAAAATAAAATACTATAAATAACAAGTGGTATCTTTTAGAGTAATGACAGTATTATTGGTGGCATACACTTTGAAATTCAAAGAAAAATTTTTCCTGTGTTGTGAACCTCAGTTATGGGAGTACAACTATATATTTATTGCAAAAATCCAAATGAAGTACTAAAAACTCTGGAAATTTAACATTTATGTACTCATGAAACTTCAACACTGGATTATTTTTAATTAAAAAAGTGTGGGGGAATGAAGCAGAGAATTATTTCAAGAGTTAATATACAAATAAACTCCAAGTACAGAATATTAAATTCTGCTCATAAAATTAAGAATCTGGCACTCAAATATTTCACAGGATGATGCTGGTGATCTAGATCCACTGAAATTAGTAAAATCATATTCTTTTTTTCAATTAACACATCTATTGGACATCAGTAAAACTGATATTTTAATATTTTCAAAGTTTTAAATTAAAACTAAGGTTTTGAAGTTATAAAGGATTTAAATATTGAATATTTTGAAAAGATTCAAACATTCAAATTTTGAATTTTTTCATTACTTTTTATTTCATGCAAACACTACTCTTACTTTGAACATAATTGTTACTGTGAAGTTGCAATGCCCTAGCCAACACGTCAGATTTATAAAAGTACTAAATTTTAAAGCATTAAAGGTATAAAACAGATATTTCAGTATAAATCACTAGAAAGTGAGAAGACAGTAGAAATTGAGGAGAAAACTGTATATTTCGTTAAGGTTAAAAAGAAAAAAAAATGTATGAGGAAATTGCATAATAATTAATGCAAAAAAATTAATATGAATTAGATGAGCTTAAAAACACAGAAAACTTTGGCTAATCTTTGGAATATGGTAACAGGTAGTTTGGCGAAATTTTGGTAAGGCGATAAAGGTTACTAGCTAGGACTTTAGCAGTGTACATGCATAAAGTCAAGAGTGTGCGCAATGCCATTTTTGTGCAATTCTGGGATGTTTCTTTTAGTGAAAATAGGTCGACGTGTACATGGATACTGTGTATGTGCAATTCTTAAAAACGCGACAAGCAGCTTGCGTTTCTGCACTTTCTCCCAATTTCGCACCTAATCTTCGTTATGATTACGCACTTTTGTTCCATAAAAGTTCTAGCATAAGCATAATTCAGCTAGCAGATTGTTGGAAAAAAATGTTGAGTAAAAAAAAAAAAATTCCTTTACTTCGTGAAAACAAAATGGCGTCCAAACAAAAACTAGCAGGTTACTGTAGCAGGGTTGGTCACCAAATTTTCACCAAAAAATTGCCAAGTTACCATAATCCAAAGATTAACCAAAACGGCCATTGTCTTTCTTGAATTTACAGATAATTTCACTAACCAAATAAGGAATTTACAGAATATTTTGAATTTCAAATAATTTTACACATCAATATTATTACAAAAGGGTAATGCTACAATAAAAAAAAAAAGAAAATATTTTAATTAAAAAAGTTAATACTTATAATAATTAAATAAATTCAAGATAGGCATTGAAAGTTTTCTAATTTTGATAATGAACATAACAAATTGTCCTAAAATATTCCATCATTTTTCTTTCATCTATTTTTAATGTACAGTGCTTTTGTTCATGTATTACTAGCATATATATAAATTTCTTTTTAAGCACTGAAGAGTCACTAAATTCAAAATTGTAATTTACTGTAAACAAATAATTTAATTTATGCATTAATAAAAATATTACTGATCAAAATATTACAGTTTTATGAAATAAAAATATAAATTAGCATTTGCATACTTAAATCATATTTAGGGCAATCTTGCACAACATCTACTGGAGTTAAATCTGGACACTGTATAACACGAGGATTTTCCGTTTCTCCTTTATTTTTATCTTTCCCCATGATTTCTTTTACTGCTTAGAATATAACCTGAAATAAATTTTAAAAATAAAAAGATAATACAGTGGTGGCCAAAATTGTGGACACTTTTGGAAATTTTTATGTTTTGAACTTTGTATGCTTATAGAAAATGTTACGTTTTGCAAAATGCAAACTTGTATATATCATTTTAAAGACATTTTATTACTGAATTCAATATAAAACACAAAATTCAATTATTTGCAATAGAAAAAAGTTATATGTACTTTAATATAAATAAAAAACACAGTTACGAAGTGTTTTTTCCTGGCCAATCACTGTTCTTGTTCTGCGAACCAATCAAATGTTAGTAACTGCCAGTAGAAACTGACATCATGTTTACACTTGAAACAATTTATTATTTTGCTTTGTTCTGTAGAAGGAGGACCTGTTTCTTATACACTGCAATTACAAGTAGGAATTTCTGTAAAAAGTTTTTAATATTTAGTCAAGAAGTAATGACATCAAATAAAAGAGCAGATTGGACACCTAGAAAGAGATGTAATATTATTGTGTTACGAGAAAGTGGTCTTTCCTATGCTGAAATTGCAAGACAGGTGGGTGGTTCAGTGACTACATCTGGAGTCCGAAAGTTTTGTTTACGATATCAGGAGACAAATTCAATAAAAAACAAAGAAGGAAAAGGCTGAAAAAGGTGCACCACATCTACTGATGACAGAAGAATAAAAAGACTATGTCTCCAAGATAGAAAAATGTCATCAGCGGCCATCAGAAGTGATCTGAATAATGTTGGTGTTTCTGTCAGTTCAAGAACAATCAGGAGAAGATTAACAGATATTGGACTGAGAGGTAGAATTCCACGAAAAAAGCCTTATCTTAATTTTCAGCAACGAAAAAAAAAAAAAAAAAAAGACTACAGTGGGCAAAGGAACACATTAATTGGACAGATGATCAGTGGTCACAAGTTATATGGAATGATGAAACTAAGATATCGTTATTCGGTAGTGATGGGCGAAAATATGTAAGATGTAGAATAGGAGAAGAGCTACATCCTGACTGCATTCAAGGAACTGTGAAGAACCCTGTTAGCGTCTTGATTTGGTCATGCATGTCAGCAGATGGTATTGGTCGCCTTCATGTCATCGATGGGACACTGAATGCCAGAAAATACATTGACACTATTCTAGAACCAAAAATTCTATTTTCCATCAGAGATCTCTTTCCCAACAATGCTTCATTTATTTTTCAGCAGGATTCTGCTACTTGCCACACGGCCAAAATATCAAAAGAGTGGTTTCGTACAAAGAGCATTAAACTGTTGCCATGGCCAGGAAATAATCCTGACCTCAATCCTATCGGCACTGTTTGAAAAGTCTTGTCCGAATGAGGAGCCCATCAAATAAAAGGGAAGTATTTGAGGCTATAATTGTTTCCTGGCATCATGTAATAACGAAAGAAGAGCTTAAAACTCTTGTCAGCTCAATGAAACATCGATGTGAAGCTGTAATAAAAAATAAAGGGTACCCTACTAAGTACTCATAACTCACTGCAATCATCACTATCTAATGTATATCGATAACTATTACGGTCAAAAGTCGTTAATCCAGACTTGTCAGGACTTCGGCAATTCCGGATTATCGATTTTTCCCGGATTATAGATCATCAATTTAAATCTGGTAAGATGGCATACAGAAATTATAAAATTAAAAATATGAAACCGTAATTTATGAAATAAAGGACAATTATGATCAAAGGGGTATCAAAATTTACAAAAAAAAAAAAAAAAAGCTTAATACTTATTTGTTTACTTTATTAAACATTTCTTTCAATGTAAGTTGTTTAAGTTGCTTCGTTTTTTATGTGATAATACATTCTCTTTAATTCTATAAACAGACATAATTTCTTGTTCAGTTACCTAGTTCTGCTGTTCAAGTCCTATAATTGCTGTGTTGAGAATACCGACTAATTTGTCAATCGAAATTTTTTCATTTTCAATAACCTCTGTCACTTTCTTTGCTATCGGAAGCGAATTGTAATGACGACAAATTTTATTTAAATCATATCTAAGACGGAGTATATCGAGATGAAATACTACATTTAGTAAGGAATTATAAGCCAAATAAAATAAAAACATCTGCCCCTGAAGATAAGGATAGTGCTGACAGATCAACTTCCAATTCATTGCACGTCGCAGCGTTAAAGATAAACAAAGTTTAGATAAACAAACGTTAAAGTTTAAACAAACAAAGGATATGCCTTTAGCCATTTTTTGCAGCAATTCCACTTTTTGTTTAATGGACTTCGAAACATTCTTTCGCTTTGTAGATCCTTTACATATTAGTAAATATATATCAGAAATTCTATTTGACATAATCGAAAGTTCAAGCTTACTTTTATAAAACTGCTCTAACAGTCTGCAAAAAAATAATAAGCCGAATCCAATTCGAAGATTAAGGAACAACGCAATCTGCAACATTAACTGAATTAGATAATTTTAGCTTAGCTTATACCTTCCGTTATACATTAAACGTGCATTCGTAAACGTATTTTGCGCACATGCGTATTTGCAGCCATAAAGGTCTTACGTCAAAACGACGCATGTGCAGAAAGTTTGTAGCTTTGAGGTGAGGATTATAGATCATTCCGGATTATGAATGTCCGAATTTAACGACTTTTGACTGTATCATTTAACTTTTTTTGTATTGCAATTAATTGAATTTTGCGTTTTTGTATTGAATTCAGTGATAAATTCTCTTTAAAATGATATATACAAGTTTGCATTTTGTGAAACGTAACGTTTTCTATAAGCATACAAAGTTCAAAAACATAAAAATTTCCAAAAGTGTCCACAATTTTGCCCACCACTATATTGTATTTTGTTAATGCATCCTTTTATGCTTTGGAACAATTTATGTAATATGAAATAATCAAGCACGGCATTTTATGTAATATAATTTTATATTACATTTTATGTAATATAAAAAATACACTAACATTTAACTATAGATTTACCAAGCAGATCATTCTGAAAGGATTGCCAGAACTGATACTATTACAAAACACCGACACCTGTACAGAATGTAAAAAGACTGCTAGCATAAAATATGTAAGCAAAATTAAGTACATCTGTAAAACGAGGGCAGAATGTATGTAACATAATGTAATGTTAAGTATTATAATAATAAGATAAGTATTATAAATCTTATGCCCCCATACATCTGTTTCATTTATAAGATTATTTGTATAATTATGTCATTTTTTAATTAAAACGTGTTATTTTGTTCATGGGTCAAACTGATCCATGATAGTAGAGATAGGTATGCAAGAAATGTTAGTAAGCCTAATGTTAAAAACAAAGTTTGTTGTTGCTTGTTAGTATTAAATAGTAGTATAATACAGAACAACAGTATAACTTATATATTCCATGTTCGATAAATGCTTAAATAATATTCACACTCCGTACAAGTGCTATTTATCCCTTAGTGTTATTTATCTTTGTACAAGTGTTATTTGTGCATTGTAGCTGATTTACGATGACTGTCATTTCTTTAATCAAGGAGATAATCCACTTTTTTCACTCCCTGAAATTCTCATTCTTGGAGATGAAGATATCTTAGAAAGAAAACTTCAGATCTGACACCCTTTTCAAATGAAAACAATAGAAAATTTCAAAACATTACTTTCTAGTGAAGGAGAAGGAACTTATGGTTCTTTAAAATGGTTTGATGCTTTGGAACTTCATTCAGTGTCCTTAATTCCTATTTTGTCAGAGAAGCTAATTTTTTTTAAAAAATGCACTATATAGCAAACGTATGCCGCTCAAATGGCCTACATTCCATGCTGGTAAAACGTTTTTGAATGTTCACGTAGGCACTTTTTGACACCCTGCACTCATACAAAAGTTACCACTGAGTTGGCAAGTTTATAAATTGGCAAAAGATGTGTTTTCGGCTATCTGTATGGTTTACAGGCACTGCCCTGTTAAAAAATAATAATAAAAAGAAGCCTTTACCCAGAAACAAACAAAAAATATATATATATATATATGAGTTAATGAAAATGTATGTGGGCAATATCATTCTGACAGCAAGTGAATACTTATACTTAAATGATGGTTAAATACAAAGCATTTACTTCTACTTGCACTCAAACATATATGTGGTATGCACATTTGTGAACTGGCTTTGTTTGCATGTATACTAAATAATGCACCAATCAGACAGCAGTTTTAACACATGTTAAAAACCCACAATATAACAATCAGTATATTGTCTAATGGCATATAAATTTTGTTCAAATTTCACATCTAATCATTCTGTCATATCCCACATAACTACTGGAATTTGATTTATGGCATACAAATACCAACAAAAGATGTTTCATTTTCATTCAAATGTTACTCGGCACAGCAGCATAGTAACAGAAACACCTTTTAATCGGTCTCATATTATGAAATTATGCACTCACAACATGACTTCTAAAATACTAGCTAATCCATATTGCTTAATAAAGCTGAAATATTTAAATCATATGTTGAAAAAAACTAGTTCACCCTTCCCTGGGATCTCTAAATTGCAGTGACCATAAAAGGTATTCACACAGTTTGATATTTATTAGGTATTACTTTACAATACATATCATACCAAAATAATTTTATCCTAAGTACTTTACAAACACTCCAACACAAACTTCGTCTGAAAACAGAACAGTTTGAAGACTTTACGCAAATTCCAAATTGCCAGATTCGGTGACAACGTTTCAAGAGGAAAAAAAATTGTTTTATTCTTCAGTCCTATGCCCACGGAGTGCCTATGCCTTACGAAAATGATTTTAAAGCTTTTTAATCAAGTCCAAGAAAATAATTTACGTAATTATGACATTTTTCAAAACTTTCTTTGCACATCATCTGTTGATGTTAGATTTGCAAAATTTACGTAAATCTTTTAACTTTCGTATACGAACTTTGTGTTGCATATGAATATTTCTTTAGATTCTTAAATGTCTATGCAATGAAACAGTAAATTATTTTCTTTAAAAAGTATATTTCTTTAATTATGTGGGGAACATTAGTTTGTTAATCTGGCAATAAAGAAATGTTTAGCATAAATCTGGCATGTTTGTTTATCGGGTAAAGTCACTAGATAAAAATATCAATTAAGAGTTTTTCCACCTTTATTATATTTCTGGGAAATAAGTGTAACCACGTATTAGGTAAAGAAACTCAATTTAAAAATGGAAACCGTAGTAATGTCTGCAGAGGGCAAAGTGGATCGTTTTGTGGAAGAAGTTCTAGTAATTATTAACTTAAATATTATATTTAATTTATATTATTTTAAAATCATTCAGAAATAAAATTTTAATACTTTATGAGGTTTAATCCTAGTATCCAGTGCACACGGGATTTGGCTACTTTTGGCGGCTTTTATGATGAACAGTAAAATCGGGACATATACGATGAGTAGTAAACGGGTATTCAAACAATGTATTATAGCTATACATAGTATATAGTGTATAGTATACTATCATTATATATATATAGATATATATAGACGTTCTTTGGGTTATTTTTGGTGTTGGCGATAATTTTCAAAATCGCGCCAAGGCTGCACCGTATACTAGGATTTTACCGATATTGGTGCGAAGTGAAAGCTGTATTTTATGGATCTAGTGTATTCTTATTTTCATAGGAAGCTATTGCATAATGTATGTTTCTTTTATTATTATTACAGCTTTGTTCGAGTTAAATTTTCTTTTTCCTGTTGGTAAAATGTGAAATATTTTTTACACATTATTTTAATTTGCAAGTGTACATTAATGTCTAAATATGCACATTAATAATTTTGTTGATTCAATATATGAAGAAATACCTCAGGCACAACTCTGTTTCTTTACTTTCCTAGTCTCCTTGTTAAATTATGTGAAAAGTTGTGGTGGTACTTCCCCATAAAAAATCCCCAAAACTTTGGCGAAAAACATTTGTTTGGCTTTCTCTACCTCATAAGCAGCAATAAAAAGAAACATCTTATAAGAAAAACTAGGTAAAAATATATTTCAGGGTACCCCCTGGTGAAAATTGGCAGTTTTTTGGTGCAATTTCTGTTTACATCCAATGCCCTTCCTAGTAAAATAACATCCAAAACATAATTAAAACAAAATAATATATAATTTAAAACTGCATTTTAAAGAAAATAACATAAGAATGAAAATACATTTTATGTAATCTACACAACATAAAAAGGAAATATCAACTTACCTATTTAAAAATTTTGGCTTCTTTGGTGTGTGAGATACATAGAATTCCTTAAAAGCATCCAAAAACTATTTACAATTATCTAAACTAGAATCTGTATACCGCTGTCACCATACAAATTCACAAAAGTAAAAATGAAAAATATTCTCTGTTCTGCCGGACTGTCGATGGCATTTCTTTCGACAATTCCTTTATATTACACCCACATACCATCCATATTGTTAATATGAGCTCCGGTTTCCAAATCCTTAAATCTCGCGGCGTAATTTACTGAGAGGTGAAAAGCCATTTAAATCTTCATTTACACACCAGTCAATTAATGTTTTCTTTCCCAGTTGTTCTAAAGTGTACAAAAACTTCAGGTTAATCGTACTACCAGGCATTTTCTGGTGTAAAGCACAAAATAAGTAATGTACTTCCTAACCAACATTCAACACATAAATAAGCCCTTAAAAATATTTTCCCATCAGTCAAATTCACCATAATCACATCATAATAGGGTTTCAATAATATTCAACTACTCAGGTCATCATAAATGAAACAACAACTTGGTGATAATCGAAGGAGTAACCTAAAATATAGACTAACCGAAAAACCTATATGGTTTAGATTCACATTTTTTATTACCAGACCTGTTAAAAGCCTGTTTTTTACCTGTTAAAAATGACAGTTGTATAAAAATCTACAGTTATTTAAGCATGTAGATGGCATGTATAGGTTGGCTATTCTTGCATGTATACTTGAAAGTATGGCAGAAAAATGGCAGTTCTATCAAAAGTTGAAACTGAGAATATCAGATAATCATAAAATACTATTATGTCATATAATTTCTGCCAAGTATAGTTAACAAAATGTAAACTGCACAAAACTTGATATTTCAGATAAAATTTGTACAAAATCATAATTAACTGTTTGATCAGTTCAGAATTATGTACACAGTAAACTGGTATTTTAACATTGTATGTCACTTTTAGTGTACAGTATTAGATTTTTTTTAATGTAAGTTATTGTTCCTCTTAAACCTCCATGTTTCCATAATATACAATTTAGTATTTCATAAAAATATTTATACTTAAAAAGAGCCAAACAGTTAGTAACAGTCCTCTTAAATGTTTGATTATTCTTATAAATATATCTTATTAAAAAGTGATATCAAATAATGTATTCATTCTTATCACATAAACATACTATTAACATATGTTATTAATTATATATTTCGATAGTAGCAAAAAGTTTGAATTTCTCCATTTGTGTTTAAATTGTTTTCTCAAGAGATAAATTAATTCTAAAAAAGAGAAATATGACATTCTAGAACACAGGTTTTTAACTTGGGGTTAATTTAATACTTTCAGAGGGATTGAATGTAGTCAACCTTTTAATTAGCTGTTAAGTATTTAATTTTAATTTATGAATATAAAAACTGACTGAAACACATCAGAAAATAATATAAATCTAAATTTATGTATGTATTTTTCAAGTTTTAGAAAAAAGGCCGGTGGAAATGATCTTTGAGCAGTAATGAAAGGAGTGCATAGATTAAAAAAGGTTGAGAACAAGCCATTCTAGAAAAATGTTTGCAATATTTTTTCATTATATAAATAGTACTAAATTTTTAACTTGCTATGACACTTTAACAATTACAGTCAAAAGTCGTTAATTCGGACACCCATAATCCGGAATGATCTATAATCCGGACCTCAAAGCTACAAACTTTCTGCGCATGCGTCGCATTCACGCGTGTGCACAGGCGTTTACGAGTGCGCGTAAGACCTTTACTGCTGCGAATATGTTTGTGCGCATGCACGTGTAATGTGTAACGGAGGTATAAGCTAAGCTAAAATTATCTAATTCAGTTAATGTTACATATTGTATTGTCCCTTAATCTTCGAATTGGATCCGGCTTATTATTTTTTGCAGACTGTTAGAGCAATTTCATAAAAGTAAGCTTGAATGTTCGATTATGTCAAATAGAATTTCCGATATATATTTACTAATATGTAATTTGTATCTACAAAGCGAAAGTATGTTTTGAAATCCGAAATCTGTTTATCAATTTCATGCTGCGGATTGGAAGTTGATCTGTCAGCACTAGCCTTATCTTCAGGGCAGATGTTTTTATTTTATTTGGCTTATAATTCCTTACTAAGTGTAGTATTTCATCTCGATATAATTTAAATCAAGTTCCTTGTCATTATAAGGTGATAAAGGTTATTAGCTAGGACTTTAGCAGTGTACATGGATAAAGTCAAGAGTGTGCGCAATTCCATTTTTGTGCAATTCTGGGATGTTTTTTTTAAGTGAAAATAGGTCGACGTGTACATGGATGATAATGTGTATGTGCAATTCTTAAAAACGCGGCAAGCAGTGGGCTATTCTGCACTTTCTCCGAATTTCACACCTAATCTTCATCATGATTAATCACTTTTGTTCCATAAAAGTTCTAGCATAAGCGTAATTTGGCTAGTAGATTGTTGGAAAAAAATGTTGAGTAAAAAAAAAAAAAAAATGCCTTTACTTTGGGAAAACAAAATGGCGTCCAAACAAAAACTAGCAGGTTGCTGTAGCAGGGTTGGTCCCCAAATTTTCACCAACAAATCGCCAAGTTACCATAATCCAAAGATTAAAGACCACTATTAGTTTTGTTTCTCAGTGTTATTATTATGTCAATTATGTTTCTTAGATAAGATCTTTACTGTATATTTTGTAATATATATTTCAGTTTGAAGGTGAATTAGCAGTTGCTTTTCATGGATTTATTATTCATACGGCTGAAGATCAAACAAAAATACAAAAAAGATATCAAGAAAGTTTAAAAAATATGTTCTCCTCATTTTCAGAGGTAATTATGTTTCTGATTTTATTATTAATTTACATATAAAAACATTTACAGACATACTTTGCAAAGACACACTTAAAAATATAAAGTATTAAAGTGTCAGCTCTGATTTATTTTAACACATAAATGTTGCTGCTGTGAACACATTTGGTTTCTGTAAAACATAAGTAGCACAATATAGTATATCACTTAGAAACATTAATTGAAGCATTGTATATAAAGTTGATTTTTAAATTTCATGAAGTTAAGGATGACCAGTATGGTGAATAAATGGAAATCAATATATTTTTTGCCACATCAAAACCATTAATAGCCTACTGTTAACCAGAAACTTTCTGATTAACAATAACAAACCAAAAAAAAAAAAAAACTTTATTGCTTAGCACAAAAGAGGCACACAAGAAGGCGCAAATTTTGTAATCCATTAAAAAAAATTTCTTGACTACATTTTTTTGTTCACTAATTGCATCTTGAGCACATCTTGCCATATCTTTAGCAAAAAGATGTATCTGCAGTTCCTGTTAATATGGCTGAAAAATAATTTTCCTTTTGTACTGTCACCATATAAATTCTACTTTGATGCTCTTTTTCAAGATGACACTGAGCCACATCATTACTTCTTATTCTGCTATTTTATGGCTAATCTTCCATAATTGGGGTAAGTTGGTGCCAAACTCTTTTCGTTTGCGATGTCAAACTTCACATCGCTGTTTCATTTCGCAATTGCTGATTGCAAACAGAAACGTCGATGTAAAATCTAACATCTCCAAACAAAAATAACGCTAAATACAACACAAGCATAAACTACTACAAACTAAAACATTAATTTAAAATAAACTACAAAACATTCAAGTCACAAACAGGAAACTAAAAATTACAAAAATACATTAATACAAAAATACCAAAATAATACATACCAAATGTCTCTTCACTTGCATCAAAAAATTGTCAGCTAGTAAATATGTTCAAATTCACCAATAATGGGTGCATCATAAACTCACTAAAATATACAAGTTACTATCATTGTGAAGTTCAACATATTAAACCATTTTTGTTCAGCACTTTAAACTTTCCACATCTCGGTTGCCACATGCAAGAAACAAAGCTAAAAAAAAATAATTAACTGACCCAAAAAACATTAACTAAATTAAATGAAAACATTCATAAATTATAAAACTACACATCATCTGAAATCCAACATTCTCCCACCAACAACAGCTTAACCTCCTGCAAATATTAAATATAAATAGTAAAACTTTTAAAAATAAACACAATATTTCAAAATTAAATTTTAAAAACTCTTCTGGCTTCACTAAACTCGCACTCATTACAATCACAGAAATAAAGTTCTATGTTTGCCATAAGAAAACATACAGCCAAAAACAAATACCAAATCAAAATTATGCCAAATAAAAACTCGCCAAGTTTCACGATCACCCTGCTTGTGGAAGATTAATCAATCTTATAATCTTTTTATATCTTGAGTATAAGTGTCAGTTTTAACATCATCAAACATTAATTTGTAATCCATCGTCCTTCTGATTATTTATAATACATAAAATGACTTGCTTGAAAAAAAAAAAAAGTGTCTGTGCAAGGTATTAAATAAGATTGGTTTTCAGTCAGAGATCAATTTTAATGATTAAACAGGAGGAAACAATTTTCTTTCATGATAGCCTTTATAACATAGAGGTACCAATTATGTTTTTATAAATTAATTTCAAATAAACATTTTTAAACATATGCTATTTAAAGAGTGTAAGAAGTAAATTGTCAAAAAGAATTTTAATTATTTTCAATCAAGAGAAAGTGTGTAAATGCAGAACCATTTGTCTGTCATCTTTTTATTTTAAGAATAAGTTCTATTGGATTAAATAATTTTCTTGGTTTTTAATTTTTTCAGAAAAATTATTTACTACTTATTATTATAGATATCCAAAATCATTGTTTGTATTGTAAATATTTATATTTTATAGTTTTGTTTCAGTTGTTAATTTGTAGTTTGTTTGCAGTGTGGATCTAAAAATGTATTATTTTATAAGTATAAAGTATCATAAGTGAGTTACTATAAATTCTTATGAATCAGAATTTCACTAAAAATTTTAATACGAAAATTGCAGTAGTTGACTAAATCAGACTTATGAACTTATTAATGGTCTTCCTTAATTGAAAAAGACTCTAATATTTTAAATTCCATTAAATTTTATATTTTACATTATTTATAAGTAGAATCCTGATTTATTCAGCTGTTTCATTAGCTTGATATTTTATATTACTTTATTTATTTTATTGTAAGATGAATATTAATAAGTATTTTTGGAGTAAGGCCAGTCTTTTAATTGTACTTGAAAGTGATTTTCCCCCTTGTATTTAATATCCTTTAAAGAGATTATTGGATTACTGAGCAGATAATATGTTGTTAAACCATCTGTAAACTTTTATCTTCTAATATCTCCATACAAGATCAAAATGAGGTAGAAGAATTTTTTTTATAAAGTCTGCTATATGTGATATGATTATTTTACAGGAAGAATTACCTCCTGCCTTAAGTCATTATGTTAAATTAATCAGCTCAACAAGTAATCAACAAAAAGCACGTATATTATTTTCTTTACTGGAGTTTGGAGTCACAAATAATTTTGTTCCACAAAGGTAAGGGATTGAAAAACGATTTTGTTCATAAAATTAACAAATGTTATTTTGTATGGATAATTTATATTCTTAAATATGTTAGTTAAGAATTCAATAACAGCATTTTAATTGCATGATAATTTATTTTGTTAATATGAAGTTTGAAAAAATATGTTCTGTCACTATGATTATCAATAATATTTGCATTATAATTTTTGGTTATCTACAAGGACCATTCTGATAAGTTCACAGAATATAAGTTATTAAGGAGAGTAATAAAATTTAAAAAATAATAATAATGGGCTTTTTTTTCCCAATTATTTCAACTGATGAGCTTCTCAAAAATATATTATAAATCATCTTCTGGTTTCCAGTCTAGATTGGGTTGTTTGAATATAGTAAAGCACACGAGAGTTATCTACCTAAGGGAAGGGATACCTTTGTAGAGGGCTTTCTGGTGCAAACTGGCTCGTATTCACATTACACAGGGGGAAAACTATGAAAGCTAACCATGCAGCCAGCCCATTCAGTTCGAATAGGCATCAAACAACCAGTATTCAGCAGTCTTAGTCATTTAGTCACTGCTAGTAATGTGTTTTGTTTCGTGGTCCATGCTAAACTTTCTTCCTCATGACTGTTTCTGAAGTATTGGAAAAACTCCGAAATCATAGGCTGAGTGATCTAAACTGTTAGGATTAAGGTCTAGAGGCTGCTTTCAAGCTTTTCAGTTTCCATAGCCTGTCGTATATTGCATATGGTTTACATTGTCTTGAAGTGAAAATCATTCTCATGAAGCAATTCAGATCTTTTTCTCTCTCTCTTGTTTTTCCTCTATGATTGTGTGAATGGCTGTTTATTAAATATTAGTTTAATAGTCTCCATTTACATTTTCTTTCTCTGGAACTCAGTGTTGCAATATTGTTCTGTAAAATATCAAAAAAAAAAAAAAAAAGAGAGAGAGAGATCCATATTACCTTCTCTGAAATCTAAAATTTCTTATGAGGCAATGAGTCACTGTCTTTTCATACATTCTGTTGCTGCTTTGATTCAGAACCATAATAACCAATCCAGGACTTATCAGAACAGTATTCTATTCAATAACTTAGACTCTTTTTCTTATTCATTGAAGAAATCACTGACACCATTGAATATGAGAGAGCTTGTAGTATTCTTCGCTCAGTAAATGTGACACACATTTTACAAAAATGTAAAGCATTTCTAGGTTTTTTTTAATGAATTGTGATATCTTGCTGTATTAATATTTAATTTAATCGACAGCTCACAAATTGATGAATATCTGTCCTTTTTCAATAGAGTACTTTCACAAATGTTCTCATTGTTCATAAATATTGATAGATGCCCATCTGTTAACCCAACCAGCATATTGTGTTTGCTGTCCTTAAAATGGTTCTACCAAGTCTGACTAGTCTGCCCATTATCTTGCTGAACATGTGTTGACTCTTTCAAATATTTATTAGCCACTTTTGCATAACTTAGTTAAAAATCCAGTGGTGATTATTTATCTTGTAATTAGTGATACATCCTTTTCATCTGCTAGTGTAACTTATACTGCAGTGTAATTTTTATAATGAGCAGAATAAGTGGCAACTATCTGTTGAGTGTATTGAATATCAGAGATTGCATTGATGCTTTTATCTTGATTTTTGATATGTTGAATAAAATTAATTGTATTGAGAATGAATTAATAAATCATAGTGTAGATTACCTTCAATTGTGACAATCAGAAAATTTCTTCAAATCTGCTGTTTAGACAAATCTAATAAACTAGCATACTACACTTAAACTAGTTTTCTTTTTTATTTGCTATATTATAAGACACTTTTCAAAGTGAATCCTAAATATTCTAAATGCCAATTTCTACTTTCTTTCACTTAACATATTTCTGTTCTTTGATTATGCAAGTTAGATTCTAAATCAGTGATTGCCAAACTGTCGATAGTAGCTCGCAGGGACATTTTTGGTAGATCACGTTAACACCTCGGTTGGCTAACCTTGATTCCTTTACTGAACTGACGCTGATGATAACTGCTTATTTATTCTGCACAACTGCCATTGTCAGCCTCATCTCATAGTTGATTGTATAAGCATAAAGTTATGCATGTTATGTTTGTCATGTGTATATTAGACATTTGCTAACTTGAATAGTTTGATTTAAGCATTGGTGCCAAGCTAGGTCTGTTCTAACTATAGCTTGTTCAATCAAAAAGCAAAAAACTTATCACTTTAATTCAAAACGGAAAACCTATTACTTCTTTACCCAAGTAAAGGACAAATGTGTGTGTAGATTTCAAAAAGATTTCAATTGTTTGTTAAATCGCCTTTTATACAGATTAATGCAAAAGAGTTCTGTATTTGTGTTGTGGAGCATTTTGATTTTCAAGAAACTAATGCTGCAGTGGAGTTGGAACTGATCGATTTTCAAGGTGATATATCTGTAAAATTGCTTTCTTCAAGCTCTGAAAATATTTGGCCTCTTGTTCCTAAAGAAAAATACCCAATTTGGTCCAGGTTTGTCTCAAAGTGAAGGCAGTATTCAGCTCTACATATCTGTGTGAGATTTCTTTTTCCAGTATGAAATTTAAGAATAAGTACAGAAACAGACTCACTGATGAACACTTGGACAGCTAGACCAAAAGAGTTCCATCCTTCTCATTAACCGTTTGAGTCCCAAGCAGTGCAATCGCGCTGTTGAGATTTTACGTTGAGAAAACTCAGTACATTTTGAACATTGTGGAGAAAATGAGAAACGCTTACACAAGAATACATCCGATTGCTTTGCAAACTGCAACAAATGTGACTAAGCGATGAGAAAAAGCCGAGAATCGCGTTACCTAACAAATACAAGAAGCGCTATTGATCCGATTAGGATTCATCGATATAAAATAAACAAAGCGCTATTGCGCCACTTGGTATTTCTTGACATAAAATAAAACAAGTGCTATCACGCTGCTTGGGTCTTTTCGTACTAACTTAGAGAAAGCGCAGTTGCGGTGTTTGGGATTCTTTGACAGTGTTTTTTCAATATCCCTGGGACTCAAATGGTTAAAGTCTGGTAAAAAAGATCTGTCATTACATTTGTTATTTTTAAATAACTACACTTCTATTTCTTTCTTATGCATATTTCAATTTCATTTTCTTTTTGTTATATACAGTTTAATTGATTTCATATTTACTAGAAATGTAAGCTTATAGGCAATAAACAAATGTAAGATTTTTAAAAACATTTGTAGTTCTTTTGGTTGGTAGCTCACAGTAAGATTTAAAAATGGCACAGTAGCTCAGAAGCTTCATAAGTTTGACACTACCTGGAAAACCGGAAAAAATCAGGGAATTCAAAAATTGATCAAAAAGTTCAGGGAAAAGTCAGGGAATTTAATTATTTTAGCCAAAATCGGGATAAGTCAATGAATTTCATCCGGCGATCCCCCCAAAAAAGGGAGTTTTACGCCGACGTAAGCGATCACTTTCTTGGCGAATTGTGTATCGCGTCATTCGGGCAGCTGGCATCGAGCCAATTTTCGCAGCTCCAATTATAGATTGTCTTTTAGAAAGGCAAAGCAAGTTTCCAGCAACTTTTGGTTTCCAGTAACCATCGAGAATTGAGAGATTCGCAGTGCATGTTGAACTAAACAAAATACTTATTTTCGTTTAAAACAAAATCGGTTTAATCCTAGTATATGGTACTATGGAGGTTAGAATCAAAGAATATGTATTGCCAAGAAGGAAAACTACTCTGCAACAGGAGTGACTCCATTCCAACATAGGGGGAAACAGCCAAAGAATGTGCATGCTGGGAAATATTTGTTGCCAAAACTCGAAGCCGGTGTCAAAATTCGAAAGTCACGTTATCAAGAGTTTATAAAATGAATGTCATTTAAAATTTCTTTAAATTTTAAAGGAAAAGAAAATATTTTTTCGCGCAAGTAAATTAATTAATGGATTAGTTATTTTGGGTTTGGGAGGAGGAAACTCTACAAAAATCCATGTTTAAAAAATTATTGCGAAAAATTAAAGAAGAAATATTTTGTCAAAGAATGTTTCTTCTTAACATGAGTTCCTCAATGTCCTGTACACATCGCGAAAAGGGAAGTTCTGGCCGCCAGGCTCCGTCGCCAAATTTTTCCTCAACTTTCTAACAGGGCAATAGCATTACGTCTATGAAACCTTTCCTTCTTTACATAGATATTCTTTGGTTAGAATAACCTCCATGTATTCTATTCTAACCTCTATGTACGGTACACACGGAATTTGGCGACATTATTATTGGCTGACATTATTGGCTGTAAACGGTGTTGACGACAATTTTCAAAATCGTGCCAACGCCTTAGAGTACACTAGGATTTTACCGCAAAATCTTTTAAACTTTTTTTTCTTTTCTTTTTAACGTATGGTCACACAGGATTTGGCGACATTATGATGAGCAGTAACGGGTCATTTTGGTCTTGTCGTGCCAAGGCCTTACCCTATACTAGGATTTTACTGCAAAATCTTTTAAACTTTTTTTTTTTAATAAATGCCATATTTGCCATTTAGCAACAAAATAAAAAAATAGTAAACAGTCATCTAGGCTAACCATTTAATATATATTTGCTAAAATATCTTTGATTATTCTAATTAAATTTTTAAGTAAATATCTTTATGTTATTTGTATCATTTAATGTTGCTTCTTCCCTCTAAATTTATTTATTATTAGTAAATAATACTTCCAAATTTCAGGAAATTTCTCTGGCATAATCCTGAAATTAATTCTAGCAGTATGATGACATACCATCACGAAATTTAATGCACATATTTTTTGCTTATGTATGCTGCTAAATAAATATAAAATACCTGAATTTATTTAAAAATATCATTAAATAGATTTCTTTCTTTCATTTAGCTGCAAAATGTCTGCAAAAATAAAGACATTTTTAAATCCAGATTGGGGAGGTTCTAATCACAATAAGTCAGGATTTTATTCTGTGTTTGTAAGAATTATTTGGTATTTCTATGAGTGAACAATTATGCAAATATAGCTTTAGGAGGATTATTAATATTTTTTAAATTTTATAAATAAGGTAATAAAATTTTATTTTATACTTAAGCTTCATTTTATTAATCACTTTTATTATATTTTTTTTTTGATTCAGTTCTCTTTAAAATGAGTGTTCTGCCAGAATATACTGCTGTATATTTTTATATAATGAATGGGCAACAAATGTTAATTTTTATGTAATGAATGCGTCTTTGAAATGCTCATTTATCCCAAGCCCATTTATAATTAAAATTTAATTTGTAATTCTTGAGGATTTCCCCCCTTCATGGTGTGTTCCTTTTTTTCTCTTTCTTTTTAGATTTTATTGAACATTTCAATTATTTAAACTATATAACTCCTATCCTTTTGTTTTAATTAATGTATAAATTTTAGATTTCTAAAATATCTTGAAAAAATCAGTAATTCTTTCATTTGTAGGTTAGTCTGTGAAACTTTACTAAAATGTGATGCTCTTGTCTACCATAATGAAGATTTTTGGTGCCAGAGTTTTATGTTGATTGATAAAATCATTGCTGGAGTTGATTACAAAGTAAGCTGATAAAAGAAAATATATATTTTCATCTTCTAACCTATAAAATTAATTTTATAAAACTGTGTAGCAATTATTTTTGATTATTATCTATTCAAGTTTTAAAAAAATTTAAACATATTTCTACTGTTTTATTAAATTTTATTGTTTATCTTGTTTATAATTAATATGTGCTGATCAAATTAGTGCACGCATATGCTGTATGATACATCTCGTTTTCAAACATATTTCGTAGGCAAATACCCATTTACATACCTTTAAGCAACAAAGACTAGTTCTTTGTTGCTTAAAGTATCTGATGTTTTGCTTAATATGAAGAAATTAAACATTGTTTCTCTGTTTCATTGTAACACCATATTGGTATATTTTTATGTTCTATGTATAGGGTTGTTGAAAAAAAGATTTTTTTCCCTCTTAGTTCAGTTAGAAATGTAAAGGTAAATATAAGTAAAAATAATTATAATGTATCTGTTCTATCATTAATATTTAGTGGACTGTGTATGGGCTTACTGTCTTACCCTCAGTAGAACTCAGGGAAATCACTGACTCATAATATTGACTGAAACTCATGTATTTTTTTTCCCTGAAAATGTCACATAGGCTGAAGAATGGGAACATTCCAAATGTGCTGAATTGTCATAAATTCTATCTTGTGAAGCTCCAAATAAATGCTTACCTCAGGGTACACCTAAAAAAACATGCATGTAGTTGGAACTCCTGTTACTTAAAATGTGAAGTTCCAAGTGCTAAAAAAATCTTAACAATTTTGCATCTGCACCGTCCTTCAATTTGATGACATAAAATAAAATTTGCATAACATGAATAGCATCCAAGCTTTGTTTGTAGGGACAAGCAGGGTAATCTTGGCGTGCTTTGCTGCCAACATTAATCAGCCAATACACATAAAGATGGCACCTACGTAAAAAAAAAAAAAAAAAAAAAAATTTAGTCCATGTTGTAATATACAGAAATTAAACTTTTGTACAATGCACATATTTGCAAACTTATGGGATATAGCCATTTGTTACAAAATGATAATTTATTCTTGCTTACACATTAGACATAGTCCAGTATATATGGATGGAAACAGAATACTACTTTGATATATGCAGAATGACCAACAGAGCTCATAGTGAAATTTACAGATTGTGTGGCAAAATAAATTTTAATGTTCACATTTATTATGAAATAGCATTTTTTATACTGCTTCATTCCCCCCTCTGATAAAAGCATCTAAAAGTCAAATTCATTTTTTGATGCTCCTGATTCTATTTATGTGCTTTATCAAGGGGTTATTTTATTAATAAGCCTGTCTGTTGTACAGTTTTAATAATTAAAACATTAAATAATGAATAAAAGCTGTTAAAACAATTATTTTATTGACAAAATATATATACTGATGCTAATACACACATATAAATTAACTATCCAATACCCCAGAGTTTGGCTTCCAAATCCCAAAGTGTATGAAAATACCATTAAAAAGAGGTAGTTTCTTGGTTATAATTCCAAATTGCTTCTACCCTATACCTGGACTCTCTTTGAAGATACTGCCGTAATGTTTAGATATATTTCAAAGTTCACTTATATATACATAACATAAAGGTATAGGAAAAATATAATTGAATATGTATATATGGCCTCAACAGCAACAAATATATTTTAATAGGATATGTTTTATGAAAGATGCTGGTTTTAAATTTTTTTCTAATATAAAATAGTCAAACATAACAAATGTATATTCATAAACAGGCACACATGTTTTGCTTAAATATAAAAAAATTATTAAAAGACAATATCCTTTCTTATTGCCAATAATTAAAATATGCTTTGTTCCTGCAGCATATTTTAATCATTGGCAATAAGGAAGGATATTGTTTTTTAATAGAACTTCAAGTGAAATGTGAGCTGAGCAGTTGTCTATAATCAGGACGTTTTTTGCATCAGTATTTAAATTAACCAATGTGTTGCCAAGCCTCAAGTATGAAATGATTTTCAAAGGAATCATTCATTAATGTTTATATTATTGATGTTATTTTATTTGAATATTTCATTAGGGCAAATATCATTAATCCTTTAAATGCCTGAGATAAGTACTTTTTCCTATTACAAGAAGTTTACATTTGTTTACATCTGCACATGCCAAATTGTTAATCTCGCTGTGGAATTTTTGATGCCAGTTAGGTCTTTTCTGCAGATGTTCCCAAGGTATATCAGAGCACAAGCCAATTTTGTCAGCCTTGTAAATTTGTTTTGGAGATAGCTTTTCACTATTAACGAGTTTGTGATGAATTCTACAAATGGTTTTGCTGCTTCAGTATCAGCTGAAGTTTTTCGCCTGAAATTTAAGCTGCCTTACATCATGCTGATTTTAAAATTTCATTAATGAACCTGCCAAATACAGAGGCTGTTCACACATTTTTTAGACGATGTATATTGTATTCACAAAACTAAATTACATAAAATTGTGTTTTAAATGTTCTATTTGACATCCCTTATTTTGAACTATCTTTTGACACCGCAATTTCCAGGATAATAATGCCTTTTGAAATGGCAGAAGTGGTATTCTATCCCATTCCTCCCAAACAGCTTTCCAGAGTCCTGTTAGGGTTTGGGGACAATGTTTGGATAATGCAGTTTTTAAAAATTCGAAAGCACAAAAATCCATAGGTGACGCATCGGGAGATTTAGTAGGGATATCGGTGAAAGGTACGGCCTTGATACCAGTTTTTTGTTCCATTTCTTTTAGGAAATTTGCAGTGGATTTTGATGTGTGACTGCTAGCTTTGTCCTGATGGAGTCTCACAGATTGATGGCACTGTGGGTAAAGCATGTATGTGTATTTCATTCAGAAAAATTGGCGATAAAATATGTTCCTGATAGTATTTGGAGTTAATCTTGACATTTTTTTGCACTCTCTTTATTTTTAACTTGCCATTATAAGAAAAACCAGCAACAATCATGAATCCCTTAGAAAAACTTTCTTTCGATTCTTCGAACCATGTACTTAAATTTTTTTCTCCCCTTTTATGATAATAAATGGCTCTTTTTTTGTTACACTCATTTAAATACACCCATGCTTCATCTATTGTGACAATTGTTTTCATTTCTCTTTGGATAAGTGTTTCTCATATAGAATTCTGCAGCGTGTCCTGCGTTGAGCGATATGCTTTGGAAGAAGACGATGCACATTGCATTTTTCTCTTTCTTAAGATTTAAATCAACGTTTATCATTTTGTTTACAGTGGACACCGAGCATTTTATTAATTTTGTAACTGTCCTTTGACTAGGGGGATTTTCTTTTAACATTAAACAACGTACCTTTGCAATAGTCGAAGATGTCCGTTTTTTCCTTGGATACTTGTTTGGAATTTTGTCCCACTTCAGGCTTCAATTTGACTTTTTTTCCCCTTTCTTGTTGATGATATTACCTATCGACGCTTTAGATATCACAAAACCATGACTCTCACATCATTTTTGGATAATGGAGTCTGCATATTTCTCTTCGGAAAGAGCGTAAATGTTGCCTTCGAACCACTGCTTTGTTAAATTCACCATTTTGAATAAAAACAAAACTTTCAAGCCACAGACGATAATTTTGACTTTTAAAAACATAGTACAATTGCAATTACTTCTTTTGCAGCAAACGATTTTTTATTTCCACTTACCAAAATCGTCTAAAAAATGTGCGAACAGCCACTGTATATGCACTCAGTCTTTTTAGTTCTATTTTCTCATGAAATATTTTCATTGAGTCATTAGCCTTGGACTTGCCAATAACATGCCCTCACTGCAAGTCTCACCTATTCAATCATCACTCTGTCATGTTCATCATTTTCAGCATATTGAATAATTTTTCTAGTATTTATTACAAATGTTAAAATCAGGAAAAAAATCAAAATGTTTTCCTCCATTTTTTTTAAAATTATCTTGTAGACTGTTGATTTTCCAGTTCCATACTCCTTGCATAATTTTGATACTGATTTACCTTTATCCATTCTTTTGCAACAATTCCACCTTTGGCTTGTATAACATCAATATGTACTTCCACTTTGCAGATCTTGCTGCAGTTGGAGAATTAGAGATTTTTTCAAACATCAGATCAAACAAAAAAGTCAGATTTTGAATTTGATAAGATAGCTGTAATAATAATAGCTCTCAAAATAATAATAATAATAGTAATAAGCTGGATCAAATTAGAAAGTAAGGAAGAGAGCAATTGCTATTTACTAGTGGAATTTAGGTTTCTCCTTTCTCCCTTTCCTGCTGCTATGCCAGCAGTAGACGTCAAGTATGATGAGCAGCATCCCATTCTGAACAAATATTTCTTGGAGATTTATTTATATTTTAAGCTGGATAGAAAATGCTAACTTCCAATAACTACTCATGGGCTGAAAATGTGGTCGCATCCAACATCAGTTGTTGCATTGTCATTGGCCATGGTGTGATTCCATAGCCGCCATGTGTTTGAAAGTAACATGCAGGAGTTTCAATTAATTGGGAGAAAATTTTGTTTTAGAGCACACCTACTTTTTCTTGAGTATTATATTTGTCATTTCTGTTGTGAGGAAAATGAAATTGCTGATGTTCCAAAGGTTTGGATGTTAGATCATTCTTATTGGGTATCCAGATTTTAGACTTTGTACTCTTAATATTGTTTTTTAAACGTGCCTTGTATATTTAGCTGCATAGTAAATTGTGTATCACAAATGTAAGTATGGAAATGTATTTTTCAAACAATGAAATGAAACTTTAAAATATGGCATACAATACATGAATTAATTATAATTTTTGTTCTCATAATTTTTTAAGTGGAAGACTGCAGTCTTGTATTTTTTCATAGGAAATAGTTTTCTTTTGTCAGTTATAGATATTTATATTTCATTCATTTTGTATAAATAAATAAAAAAGCTTGCATGTTTGGCATATCATGATTTGAAATATTTTATGATTTTCTTGTAAATTAATTGAATTAATAATACATTGTTTTGCAGGGAGTTAGAGATCTCTTAAAAACAATTTTAGACAAAGCTCATGGAATTAAGTGTGCTAATAATGTTGCTGTAATGAGTCAGCTGCGTGCAATTCAGAAAGTGAGTTCTCTAAACTTAAGCAATTTTCACAGTTTTATATATTTAGAAGATGTATAAACATTTTTTAATGAATTTATTGCATTATAAATAATGTACGAATAGAAGTACTGATTTATTAAGTGTTCTGCCTGATGGTCCTTTCAGTGGATTCTCAGTCGGCATCTAAGATAACAAAGCATTTCTTGCCATTGGCAGTGATATTTTATTTCATCTCTTTCTATGCTGTTTTCCATGCTCCATCTAGTATTTTAGCTTAGAAAATACTGTTTTATCATTCCAAAAGCACAGTTATCCACTGAAAAAGCATCAAAATGAATATGAAGAGACCATAAATTTACTATTTGTTTATTTTATTTTTAAATAAATTAAAAGTGATGGTTGATAGCTTTATCATGATTGAGTTGTATTCTTTGATGACTATGAGCATAAAGAGGGACAATATTTACATTAAATAAATGTATGTAATTATAATAAGGATCAAAACTGAATTTAACATAACTTTCAACTATCAAGCTTAATTATAGCTCCTGGGTGGGAAAAAAATCATGTAAAGCAAATGTTTTTAAATAATTGATATAATTTTTTAAAAAGCCATCCTTTTATAATGAGGGATCTATAATTATTCAAAATCTGTGCACGTGTGTTTCAGCCAGCTTAACTTGAGAATTTCAATCATAGATATAGCTTCACAGATTCTAGAAATCCTCTGCGATCAAGTAAAGTGACTTAGTCCCCTTTCTTGTTTTAACACCATGACCATTATTAGCAATTTATCATACTTCTTGCTTGTGAAGATTACAAAGTCATTTTACACTTACCTAATAGTTAAATAACCAAATATTATTCTAGTAAATTTTTTCATAGGTTAAATTAAATTCATAGGTTTTGTTCCAAAGCTTGCATATGATTTTTAAAATAGATGATATTTAATTGTATGTGCAGATAGTTAAGGTGCAGCATGTTAAGTTACTGACAAATGCTTCTTTTGGAATATTTTAAATGTCTCTGCCCCCTCCCCAATGAAAATTATTCTAAAAATGTATAAATGATTTCTGTAAATATCAAATTTATGTAAAGTTCAAATAATTGTTTTCCTTTAGCCTCATAGTTTAAATTTGCTTTACATAGTATTGAAATACTTTACTTCTCATGATTTGAAGGTGTTTCAATATTGTATTACATAATTTCTTATGATAAGCGTGTCAGATTTTAATATCTTTAATTAAAATTTTTCAGGTTTTAGAAACAATTTTTGACCGAAACACTTGTTTATTGCCGAGCTATTTAATATTGGATGAAGTACAGAAAAAAATACCTGCTAAAGGATCATATCCTCATTGGGTATTTATAGTTTTTATTTTATAATTTGGGGATATGTATATATGTATATGTTTGAAATACTTTTCCAACAAGTTATAATTATCAGAATGTAACAGTTATTGCATTTTGTTTAAATTGTTGAAGAAAATTTTTGAAAGTCTATTAGCATTGAAGGTAATTTTTTATAAATAATATAAATGATAAATCTGAATATTTTAATTTAGGAATGTTTTTTAGTTGTAAAAAAACTACTTTTGTTATCTGTTAAATACATATCTGCTTTATTTAACGAGTAATGTTATTCTTTTTAAAACTAAATAACATACAAGTGTTATATTCTTGATTTTTCTTAAATAATTAACATATGTATATTATGTTTTTGATAAGTACCAGTCTAAAAGTACAAGGTGAAATTAACTGCTGACCAAGACTTCATGATACACTCTTTATTATCACTTATGTATCATGTATGCGTAAGTTCTTTAATTGACATATAAAAAAATTAAATCAAATTTCACAAAAATAGACTAGATTTATTTTTATTAATCATATGTTTTCATATTAAAAAACAAGGAAAATTTTGTAATGTCTTTGTTTTTAAACTAAATTTTAACTGGTAAAACAATAAAAATATCTTTCACTATGCCAAAAATATTCTTAAATGGGAAATATTTTTTACAAACATTGTGAAAATGGGTAGTTTAGTTGAAAAACTTAATATGAGGATATATATTTAATGAAATATAATAAATATGATAGAATTTAAAAGGCAACTGAATTCTAATAATATGAAAAATGAAATTTGGGAAAAAGTGAGTAGTTAAAAGGTTAATTTTAAATATTTTTTAAACAAGTAATTTTATTGGTTTTTTCCAGGTGAATCTTTTAAATTTTATTGAATCAATCTTAATATGTTTTTTTTAATTGTTACATACCTTTTTACATTACAGCATGATTGATAGAAACAGAACTTTATTTATATGTAAATTTTACAGAGTATCAAACCTGATGTAACAAATTTTCTGATTTATATTTATATAAACAGTCATGTTATATTAAATGTTTTACTTCATCTTAACAGCTTCTTATATTTAATTTCAGAAGTTTTCTAAACTGATTTCATCCTTTGTTGACAGTTTTAGGCCAACTGCTCAAATGGTTTCAGTTTCTGGTGAGTATAGTTTGTACTTTTTGTACATATGTAAGCTGTGTTTCTCCTTTACTTCTTATTTAATTTTCTTTTTTTATATTTATTCTTATTTTAGAGAAGCATATTAATGCTGGTATTTATATTTATTATCTTGTTTTATTAATTTTCAGGTGTTTTCCTTTTATTTTTAAATAGGAGAACTTTTTTCAGTGAATGTTAAAGTAAAAACTGTTATCTGATTTTCTGTGAATACTCTGGTATTATACTGGCAGTTAAAATTTTGACACTTAATGTGAAAATTTATGTTTGACTGTGTGCAATCACATGGCCGCCCGAAATTCTAACTGGTGGATAAGTTGAAGTGGCTTAATTTTTACTTTTTGCTCAAGCATTGTTGCTTATCTGTGAAGTTTATTTGTTGCTAAGTATTTGTCAACACACTATGGCCATTACTTTGTTAGTATATTTTGTGAACATTTTTTGTTAATTTCAACAGTTACTCAGCCGACTAATCTTCTACAAAAATTTTAAGTTAATAGACTTCTGTCAAAAGTTAATAAACTTTTGGCAGAAACTTCTCTCAGGTAATTATTCTGAGGATCTTAAGAGTCATATCTTGGAACATATTTACTATATATAAAGGTAGTAAAATAGTAAGCAATATTATATTTTATATATCTTTTTGAAAAAATCATTTTCAGTTCAGAATGTTGCATTGCAGCTACCTTTTCTGTTCCAGGTACTGTATCATGCTGTGGCCATGTCCACATTACCTTTTCATAGTATGGTTTTTCTTGTTTCTTTTTTAAAACATTGAGCAAAATGTTCCCAGGTTGATGGGAAATTTCAAATATTGATCATTTGAAGCACTTAAATGAATACCAGTTTGGTATTTAATTTCCCTTTTACTTGGTTGACGTTTCATTTTCTTTTTACCTGGAAAGTTTTTTTTTTTTTTTTTTTTTTTTATACTATTAATGCAGATTCATTACAGTATGTGAATTTAACAGTTGATGGGGAAATTCATTTCAAGTTTTATGCCAACCGTATAGATTGACAGAAAAACTCTTATGTGCCTTTAAGTTTTCTTGATTATTTAGAATAATAATAATCACAAATTATATAAAGCACCATGCAATTAACTTTAATAAGAAACAGATCTAAGGCATTTTATTTTTCAAAGATCTCTCCCTAATGTCATAAAACAAAATGCACAAGAAACAATATAAGAAAGTTAGAAATGCTTAATAAATCGATATTTTGGTTAAAGAAGGAACAATGTTTAAATACAACCACATGTTTAAAAAACATTGCATTGCAAGGATTAGAATTTGAATCATTACCTAAAGCTGAAAGTTTTTAATGAATAAACCTTATTAAAACAAAGGCTGAAAATCTAACAGATATATTTTTTATATTTATAGTTAACAAAGTCATAATCTTATTATTTGCAATGAAACATCCCTAAAATGATCATGAATTTACAGCAATCCTTAAAATGACCATGCAATTTTGGCTTTCTGTAGAGTTAGTTACCTAAGAAAGGTGATGTTTGGTACTGGTAATAACTTTTAACGGTTAGTACAATGAGTCTCCATTAAATATTTTATTGTAATGGGGGGGAATTAAACTTTTTTATGATTAAATGCTTCTCAAATTAATAACAAAAATATTTTTTAATCCAACTTATAATTTCTGAATAAATTATACAAATCATAAAATATTATTATGTTTGTGAAAATAGCATTTCTGTAATTCAGTCCTAACACAAAATTGAATACAATACAAAGTCCGAGATCTGGATTCGTCGGGACTTCAGAGATTCCGGATTTGGAATTTTTCCGGATATTAGATCATCAGTCTAAACCTAGTAAGATGGCATGCAGAAATTATAAAATTAAACATATGAAATAATGGAGCATTTATGATCTACAAAGTATCAAAGTTTACAGAAAAAAGCTTAATATTTATATGTTTACTTTATTAAACATTTCTTTCAATGAAAGTTGTTTAAGTAGCTATGTTTTTTGTGCTAATACTTTCTCTTTAATTTTATAGAAAGTTATAAGTTCTTGTTCTGTTACCAAATTCTGTTGTTCAAGTCCTGCAGTTGTTGGGTCGAGAATTCCGACTAACTTGTCAATCGAAATCTTTTCATTTTCAATAACCTCTCTGTCTCTTTCTTCACTACCGGTAGCGGCATTTTCTGGATCTAGAACCATACTACAAATTTCGCCTTCATTTGCTTGATTGATGATTAGGGCATTGTCATCAAAATGAAAAACTTCTGTTAACTACGCTTCTTCCCTAAATTCTGCCACTCGCTGTGGCCATGCGAGCTCTGTCTTTATGTGAATAACAAATCAGTTATTCTTAATTCAAATAGCACTAAATGTAATCTTTTGGCCTATGAGTATCATTAACAAAATCTATTTTTAGCATATAAAAAGAAATTTTTGTTTAAATCTTTCCTCATCAACGTTTCTTAGTGCATTTTAACTTATATCTGTAATCCACGCCAAGCGTAATGTCAACAGAAAAGATTACCATACTCTTCTTTATTCAATTACGAATAGAAAAAAATTTTTTATCCATCGCTACATGAGTCATTTACTCAAGTTTTCATGTTTTGATAAACATGCAGTGAGGAAAGGAAAGTATAATAAATAATGATTCGCCAGCTTGGCGTCAGATCAACAATGTATCTATGTGGAATGTTTCGGTTTGAGATGTGTGGCAAGGCAGATACGCAGCAATGGAACCAAATTACTGATCGTACAAATTTATACTAAAATCATTGTTTCTTCAATAACAAGGTATTTTATTTAGTGTCAAAGTGAAATTAAGGATCGTGACTCTCCAGATGGTTTATTATACATGGAGGGGGAAATCAAATGTGCATGTATAAAGCCTACAAAGAATGACGTTGTTGGTTTTGAGGTCTGGATTTTAGATCATTCCAGATAATAGACGTCCGGATTTCGTACTTTATACTGTGATAATCATTGTTAATTTTTTTAATGTTTAATCAAAAGTAAATTTGCAGATTAAAATACAATAATTATACTAGAAAATAACGAAAAAAATTAGCACTGACATTGATTAAGTTAGTTAATTGGGATCAATTTACATTTCAATAACCACAATGATTTAATAGTGAAATAAATACAAAAGAATCATTCTAACAGCATTTCAATAAGATTAATTTTCCGATAGCAATATTGCATAAAAGTAGATTGTTATGATAAGGTAAGTTATAAAGTAACGGGTGGCCATAATTAAACTGACAGTGCTCACAGTGTTCTGTAGCGTGATCTATTTGTGAGAATGACGCCACATTTTGTAGGAAGATTAAACAAGACGGGGGACGAAGGATTCCGTAAAAAAAAAAAAAAAAAAAAAAAAAGTTCTAAAAGTCACCGCTAGGGGAATATTGCGCTGCGTAATAGAAAATAGAGTGTTAACAAATGCAAATCAATAGGGAAATTACCTTATTTTGCATTCAAATGAGGTTCAATGTGGCTGCTGTTGTTGTGGACCACATATTGCATTCTGTGCACAGTATGCACAACAGCAGAAAGTAACATGTCTGCAGGAATCTCCCGTACAGTTCGTGATATGTTATCCTTCAACGTAGCCAGGTCCTGGACCACTCCTTGATAGACCTTGGACTTAAGGTAACCCCATAGCCAGAAGTCGCATGGGGTAAGATCAGGCGACCGAGGTGGCCATGCAGTTGGAAAGTAGCGGCTAATGACTCTTTCTGTTGTGAATTTCTGTCGTAGCATCTGTTGCACCCGTACAGCAACGTGTGGAGGGGCTCCATCTTGCATGAAAATGATTTCCCCCAGGCATTGTCTTTGCTGAAGTGCCAGAATGACAAAGCTGTTCAACATGTGGCGATATTTCTCTCCGGTAACAGAACAGGTTTCGGTCCTGTCGGGGTAATGTTCTCATAGAAGAATGGACCTACGATAAATTCCGCTGTGAACCCACACCAAACAGTTACCTTTGGTGAATGTAAGGGAATTGCTGTGACTGCATGTGGTGATTTGTCATCCCAAATTCGGCAGTTCTGGGTATTCGCAGTTCCATTCAGGTAAAAGTGGGCCTCGTCTCCCCAATAAGATCATCCATCTTGGCCAAGCATTACCCACCTCCATTCTGGCAAGAAAGGTGAGAGCAAAGGTCAATCGCTTATCATGGTCGGGGTACAGTAACTCCTGTTCACGGCTGATCTTGTACGGATAGAATTTGATAATCTTACGTAAGATTTTCCATACCGTAATATAAGGCATATCCATATTCCATAAGGCATATTCATAATAAAAGGTAATTTTATTCCGTATTAATTTGCATTTGTTAACACTCTATTTTTTATTACACAGCGCCAAATATTCCCCTAGCGGTGACTTTTGGAACTAATTTTTTTTCTGCGGAATCCTTCGTCTTCCGTCTTGTTTAATCTTCCTACAAAATGTGGCATCATTCTCGAAAATAGATCGTGCTACAGAACACTGTGAGCACTGTCAGTTTAATTATGGCCACACTAAATTTCCTTTTGAAATATAACATGCATACAAAATTGTGATCTGCTGAAATATATGTATATTAATTAATGAAATTTTATTCTTCTCTTAGCCTTGGTAGCTAAAAAAGTAATTAGTGTCAATTGAAATATGTTGAACTATATTGCCTGGTTAACAAAATTTTCATCATTTAGAGCAATTAAACATCCAGCTTAGAGGAAATTGTGGCAAATTAGAGGAGCATCAACAGTTGTGTAGCAGGGTACATCAACTAAAATACTTCAGTTAAATTGAGAAAATAATAATTTTGAGCAGCATACTATGAGAACAAGAATATTATGTTTATATTTATAGTATACAAGTTTATACGCATAGTGTGCAAGTGCTTACACTTTTTAGTACTTTATTATAAAAAAGAAAAGAAATTATGAATTTGATTTATAATCTAAGTTATATCATTGACTGGAAGGAGGTTAATTTATTACCTAATTACTTTGTATGGTCTTTTCACAAGCTTCATATATTTTTATTTTGCTTCTGCTTTGAAATTATATTTTTTAGTAAAATGAGCAGAAAAAAGTATTTCAGTAGAATATTTTTTGAATTACTAAAAAAAAAAAATCTAATGAGTTCTTTTAATCAGCCATTCAGATGGTGAAAGTTCTGTTGTATAGAAATTAAATCTATATTTAAATATTCACACTGTAATTTTATAAGTTTCCATTTTTATAGCTATATCTGAATACTATAGATAGTGTGAATATTTTATAATTTAGTATTAGTATATTGGAATATACTAATACTAAATTTTCATGAAAAATAAACATAAATCTCTGGTGAAATTATAATGAATGCTTTCTTATAGTTTTTATGGAAATTGCTGGAGATGATACTGCATATGGAAAGTCTAAGCTTCTGCCCGTTGTTGGCCATTCTGCAACTTTGGGAAATGTTTGGAAACTAGACCCAGTCACAGCTAAATCTCCTTTAAGAGGACTTTTGCCATATAACAAAGTAAGTGCATTTGCTGTAGCATTAAAAGAAATTTAGTTTCATGCCTGAATTACATAATTTCAGTAAATTATAGCAAAATGTGTTTAGTGTATCTAATAGAAAGGATTTTAATATATACCAAAAGTTGATTTTTTTTCCTTATTAGGAACTTCTAGAACCCCAAACATCTCTTTTGAGATATGTTTTAGAACAGCCATACTCCAGAGATATGGTATGCAGTATGTTAGGGCTTTCTAAACAGGTAAGATTAATAATCTCTCAGTTTGTAATTTTTAGCCTTGACTAAGAAAAATGCTTCGCAGCAATAAATGAAATTTCTTGAATTAATGAAATTGGTCAAATTCCATTCTTCCATCCTCAATGATTTTCTGTATTAATTCTTTATTAAATTTTATTTGATCTGGATTATCTTAATCTGCTCTAGTTGTTTGTTGAACTTTCTATGAAGCTTTAACTAATGTTTAAACAGTTAATAATTGTATTTAATTTTGTTTAACATTAATATTTGGTACATTACTAAATTTATTCACATAATAGTATGTATTATAGGTATTAATTTTATTTTCATCATGTTCAAAAGTACTCTGATAGTTAAAAGCTTTCTTACCATACTTAGAATTTTCTTAGTATAATTTCTTAGCTTAAATATTAATATATTTTACATCAAAATCATAATTTAAATAACTGAGTAACCTAAATTATGCATTATAAAATGAATTTAAATAATTCTGGTGTTCTTTAAAAATGACACTGCCATGCAGACAGAAACCTTTCTGGAAAGTCCTAATTTTCATATGAGAATTTCACTTTTTTTTAACTTTATTGTTGCCTGCTATGAAAGGATGTTTAGATTAGTAATAATATAATCCTATTTGTGTGTAAGTTTGTTCTTATTTTAAATAATAGTTATTTAAACTTTTTGGGGAGGATGTTACTATAAAACAGCCTCTAAAAAAAAAGGATGCCCTCCCCTTCTAGAGAAATTGAATATGCAATTGATATTCATCATTTTGTGCATTTCTACCTACTTTTTCTATCAAATCAATGAGAAATTAGTCCTTTTTGTATTATCAGTTTTTTTTTTTTTTTTTTTTTTTTTTTCCTTGAGATTTTTCTAAGCTTTTTTTCTTTTCAGGTTTTCTTTTCTAAAATAATCACAACCTCTTTCAGATGATTTTGGTGTTCTATAGAAATAATTGTCTTAGAAGAGTTAAGTTTTGTATCGATCTTTGTTGTGAGAAAAACTCACTTTCAGAGGTTGTCATCATTGAGGCTAATTAAAAAAAAAAAGGAAGGTTAATTATAGTTCTTTTATTTTGAGTTAGGGTTAATATAATAATGAACTTCAAAATATGATCAGGGTTCATATAAAAGGCAAATCATTATTGCAACAATGTTCTTAAATCCTGACAGATTATTAGTTCAGCTAGTTCCATTCCATCCTGATAAGACTGTTTATAGTAAACTCTTTGTGTGACTATTGTTCCTTGGTTAATATAATTAATAAAAGATTTCTAACATCATATGTTTAGTTTCTGGATCCTGTAATTTTTTCCCCTATGGCATTATTGCTAAAGTTTCTTCCACTTTTCCTTTTTAGTACTTTAACATTGTATATTACTGATATTACAGTCAAACTTGTATTTAACAAAGTTGCACGGTCCCACGAAATTTATTTATAAATCCTAGGTGGAGGAATTCACAGAATGGAGGTTATTACAAAACATGATTTAGGATGAGAATTTTTTAAAAATTAAAAATGTAAAATGAAATGCAAAATTACACACATTATTGTATCCATACTATCAAAGTTACATATGAAAATTACATAAACCCATTTTTAAAAAAATTAATAAATTACTTTAGTGTGCTTTGATTGGCGGAAACAACATTTCATGTCTTAAAAAAATCTGACTTCTTTGTAATTCACAGGAAACATCTTCTGGTATCTTCTGAAACCACATCATAAAGTATCAAATGCATATAGCATATCTTATGGCAGAGATTTAGTATATTCATTTATATTAATGTTTTTTATTCTTCATTAACATCAATCGCTTTTTGACTGCCACTTTTTATGCTCTCCAATATGTCCGCTTCAGAAGGAATTCCTGAGGTCTCAGCATGATTATTTATAAATAAATAGTTTTGTAATTATACATTATTCATGAATTGTCCTTGGTTTTTTTAGTTGCAGCTGCATATCATTCAGTTCCTTATCTTGCCCATTGTCACCATTGACACTTTTGTTATCAGTAGTATCAGTCTTGGCAATAAAGCCCTAATTTTGAAGCAACTGAAAAAATGTTTTTAGTCATTATTCCCCTATTTGGAAACTTTTCTACATTAATTATTATTTTAAATTCTTACTTAATTTAATTTTAATTAATTTATTTCTGAATAAATTTATTTCTTCGTAATTTTAACTTAGCTTTTAAACTTTTTAGCTTTTGTTTTACAATAGTAACTTTTGATTTAGAAAGTTTTTTAGCAGTTCTGCTTTTTCTTTGGTTCAAAATTTCATTAATACTTATTTAGCAAATTGATTTTAATATTTCTTTAGCACATTGCTCTTGATTTTTCTAATGGTAATTCTTTTTATTTTCTTTTTATATATTATTATTTTTAGCACATTGCTTTCAATTTACTAAATAGTTATTCAGGTTTCTTACTTGAAAATTTAATTAATAATTTTACTAGGTCATTTTTGATTTACCCAGTGGTTTTGTTTAGTTTCTTAAGTAGTTTTCTTAAGTAAGTTATGGCTTGATTATTAACTGAATTTTTAAAAAAATTACTTTGTTATACTTCCCTTTAATTGGCATTTTCATGTATTTTTTTAAATCTTTCCAGTATTATGAATCATCTAGAAATTCATTCAGAAATGTAGTGCTGTTGAAAGTTTTTAGGCTGCTCCTTGGGGGGAAAAAACCAAGGAATTTTCAACGTCCCCCCTATCATTTTTATTAATTTTATTGTATTGTTTTTGTTTTAATTTTGATACATGTATTGCCTGTTAGAGGATAGCCCACCTTTCATGATTTAATTATTATCTCTTCATTATATATATATCGTATATATGTATACATGTGTGTGTGTGTGTGTTTGTATGTATATGAATAAACTTAATTAAAATACTCTTGATATATGATTGTTAAAATTTTTTAATTTTATTTTCAGATCTTCTTTAGAAAGAAAATAAATCAAATTTCAGTATTTTTTGTTAGCACATTACATTTGTTATAACATTAAATTTAAGGTAGTAATACAATTATTTTATTGTAGCAAAAACAGAGATGTCCTGTTTTAGAAGAGCAACTAGTGGAGTTAATTGTTTCTGCAATGGAAAAGTCTGAAAATGAAACTGAAGCTATGGAAGATGGTGGTCCAACACAATTATTATGGCAACATCTTTCCAGTCAGTTGATATATTTTGTGCTCTTCCAGTATGCTAGTTTTCCGCACATGGTTCTTGCCTTGCATAGTAAAGTGAGATTTTACATTACCATTCTCTAGATTTCTTACCTTTTTTGTGTTCTATAAACTTATCATTCTTTGAGAGTTTTATACAATGCATATTTTAATGCTATGTAAATAACTGAATAATGATCTAGGTTATTAGCAAAACGTATTTCTTAAAAACTGCTTTTAAAAGGCCTAAATTAAAATTTTTGTGTTTAGATGATGATTAATTAAATCTAGATAAAAATTGATACTATTGTTGCAGAATTCTGCAGGTAATTAAAATTTTAGAGAAAAATATAAAGGTCTATTTTATTATATTTATTAAATTTTGTGTAATGTTTACTTTCAGCCATGACTTAACCTGAATATGCCTTTAATACTTTGTTATTGGATTTGCATTTAAAGTTAATTGTAATTGCTGATATGTTTTTTTGTAATACTATTGTTTTAAATCACACAATTAAAAGTAATTTAGAATAAATTGCATTTTTACAACATAAAAAGTCAGGAATTATAAAATTTATATTTTTCCTGTGTTACTTGTCAAAATTCTGAAAATGCAATTTTATGTATATATATATATGTCATAATTTTGAAGCACTGTCACAATGGCTGAGTGGTAGGGTGAGAGGAAGAAGTCAATACCAAACTAAGTTCAACCACCTTTATTTCCACACATATAAAATCATCTCAGTAGATATTTATCCAATCATAATGAAATCCGATACATTCCTGTGATTCAATCATAATGAAATATGATAAAATTGTATGTACATTGGCTTTTAAAAAGGAATGACGAAGGCAGTTAAGCAAAGGTAAAGTGACGTGATGTTGACAGCGTAACAGTTAGGGAAGAAAAGAAGAATGATATAATTAGTTCACCAGAGGTATTTGTACCATAGTAGGCACAATTCTTCTAGAGGCAAGCTATGATTGGTTAATATTAGTTTTAGCTTCACTTTTCCAGTAGCCATTACATAATGTAGAAAGATCTCGAATTTGGGAGAACAGATGAATTTAGAGGGAGATCACAAAATCTAGAATGTTAATTTTGAGGTTGTCAATTATTTTTAAAGCAGCTATCATATTTTTTTATATCTTACATACACACACACACGCACATGTATATATATGTGAGAGTGTATGTATAATATATATATATAACCACAAGAGTTAAATTGCTACAAACACACCTACAGATATATTGATGACCTTATTACAATTAATAATTTTGGTAAAATTGAACACTCCGAGATTTATCCGAATTGTCTTACACTTAATAAAACTAATAATTCACAAAATAGCATAGACTTTCTAGATCTTCAAATCATTAACTACAAAAAAATTTTACTTTTTGACAAAACAAGAAACTTCAATTTCAATACTAACAAATTAATAAATTGGAACTCCAACATATCCAAAAAAGTAATTAACAAATACAACGAATTAAAACTATATGCACAGATACAATAGATTTACAATGCGAAATTTTGATCCTTATTAAAATTCTCAAAAATAATCTAATTCCCATTCAATTTATCAACCATTGCCTTAAAAGAGCAGGCGTTAAATACTCACTCTAAATCATTTAACTGATACGGATATGATAATTTATTCCTAAACCTGAGAAGGCGGTATAAGTTGGATGACTGTCAGTTGGAAGATTTGTATATAGTGTAATTACTCAATTGTATATATTGTAAAAAGCTAATTGTCTTCAGACATATACTGTTACTATACTGTTACTAAAAAAATGGGCCAATTTCATGCCTTTAGTCTGTCTATTAGCTCTTGGACAGTGAAAATTCCTTTTTCCTTTCTTAAATTCTTAATCATTGCGACACGACAATTAGCCAGAAATTAATTAATTTCCATTCACTAGTATTTTCAAAAAAATCTTAACAGACAGTCCTCACTCAGATAAGAACTCCACAAAATACATCCATCCCCAAGAATTCCAAGTCCCAACCCACTACCATAAATTTCTTAACCCAAGTCTTGCCGACTGATATTATTCAAAGCCCCTACTGCCGCTAAGAATTTTCGGACACCCTACACTTATAGTCAGACACGAAGAGAACACACTTGCCAACTCCCCCACTAGAAAGAATGTAAGTTACTTAATACCTTTTTCTGGCCTTTATATCTTCATGTACATTCACTGATCTTATTTATATTATTTTCTATTTATTTTTATATTATTTTTTATATTGTCTTTGATTTGTTTTTTCAAAGTTTTGCATTATTTATCTTTATTTTGTAATCTTCTATGTTTATTTCAACTTTACTTTGATTTCGATTTCATAATGATAAATTTCCAATGTTTAATTTCTACAAATAATATAGTACTCAAATGCATAACATGAAAGTGTCGGGGACGGTTACTCGAGTTAAATAGGATTTCTCTACAGTAATTGATTTTTTACTCCAAATTGAATTGACTAAAATGCTTCATAGAATAATTCTTTGAGTATCAGCATTGGTTCATAATTCCTTCTATTCGCGGAAATATTTGGCCTGACTAGAATTGCCGGTTTGGCTTTAACTTATAACTTGAGTAAAGACGAAACACTTTTGTATTTACGTATTTTTATCAATTATTGTTCATTGAACGGGAATTGGTTTGTTCCGCTTGAAAAGTCAACTAATTTCCGATCAATGACAATGATTACATGTTTTAATTTTTCCTTTTACAATTGAAATTTTATTCTTCATGATGATTTAACTCCAGTCCCCGTTAAAATATTATTAACATTTTGCTTTCAAATTACTTCAAACATCTTTCAAAATATAACTTACCAGTATGGATTCACACACTTTTAAAATAATTCTACTTTAATTAAACTTAGGAGATAATATAATCAATTAATCAATACGTTTAGGAAATAAATTATTATATATTATATATATATTCATATATTAACAAGGAAGGTAGTTAGTACATACTGTATGACCAATTTGGTCTAGATAATTTTTGCGCAATATGATGCAAAATCAAGTATATTGGAAATTGTAGTAGCTCGCCAAAAGTTACCAGGAGCTGGGCTCCAAAAAAAGTTCAACACATTTTAAAAAACAGTGTCATTGAAGGGTGAGAAATTATGCTACACGAGAAAATAAACACAGTAAAATACTAAGCGTTGGGAAACTAGTAATGGCAAAAATACAGTAAAATACCTATCGATGTGACACTGAAAGTTAAAACATATGAAAATCAAACCATGGAACAAGTTAAAACATAAAACAAACAAAACCAGATAAAAATAGAAAGCGGAAAATGGTAAATTAGCTGAATTCGAAGTCCAATCTGGCTTTTCAAGGGAAATTTCTAATCGAACGTCGAATCAAGCTAACTCCATTACGCGTTTCGCCAAAACAAACAATTGAAACTTTTTCGCGACAAAATTTTTAATTAGACAAAGTGTCTTAGAAAATTTATTAGTCTCAATTCTCTGTTCCAATTTCCCGACGCGTCCGCACAAAATGACACATTAAGGTGTTAAAATATGTAAAAACTATTCCGATTACATCAAAAATAAAGATAAAAAATTTAAATAAATAGCGGTCTGCTATTAGTCCTAAATATACAATAAAATACGGGCTGGAGCTGCAAGCTTAAAGATTTATGCCTTTATAAAATTTAGAAATCTGTAATTAAATTTAAATGAAAAATTAAATGAAAACAAGCACAGTGGGTCTTGCTAAGACCAAGAAAAAAGTTGCAGTAAAAGAAACAGAAAAAACTGACCTCTGGCGATGCAAAGCTCTCCCTCTTAAAACTAAGTTGAAAAGCGGTTGTAATTTCTTTCTGTGTCCTTCAGCATCATCCCACTCGTCATGTGATGTAAGTAGGGGGGAGCGATGTCTTAGGGCATCAGCCAATACGACAAGACTGTCCGTTAGCTGTAACTCCGTCCCCTAAAACTAAAGGGGGGGTCGATAGACTGGGAAAGACGTGGATAAAGTTCAAAATAGCGTCAGTCAAGTTGTTTTACGAATAAGAACTGCTTCAAAAAGTAAAAATGGCTAATTCAGCTAAAACTACTTAACATGGCCACAAAAGTAAATGGAAAAAACAGTCATTTTGTTAATAAAAAGTCATAATTCTTCAAGCTAGAGGGCAATCAAGCTACTATGAAAAACGAAAAGGCCCGATTTGTTAATAAAAGTAGTAAAATTGGCCATCAAAGTAATTTAAAACTATTTAAACAATAGTATTAAAAGTATTGTGCCAAAATTTTTTGTTAGATTCTCTGAATCAGCCGTCCACTTTATACCATCCCATTGGGCTTTAAGCATAAAATATCACTATCTAACTCAAAAAATCTAAAAATTGGTAAGGCTAATGCCAGCTTTTTTTAAGGTATTTTTAATTATTTTATGAGGAATAAGGTTACTTTTCAAGATAGTTACAAAGTATAGTATTTCTTCTTGTAGGTGTTTTGCAGTATTGCAGATTCTTTTTATTCTGAGTAGCTGTGAATAAATTGTGTTGAGGATGACTCTTTTGGAAGTATTTGAATTCCAGTTGGTTAATTTTAGTGTGGAAAAATTAAATTCTGGTCTTTTGTCGTAAACTTTTATAAAATTGTAATCAATAATATGTAAATCAAGGTAGACTACATTATGCTGCTCTGTATTTGTTTTATTTAGTTTTAAGCATGTAGGGTAGATATTAGCAACTTCTATTTTGTTGTAGTTATTAAATGCAATGACATCATCAATATATCTATAGATGTGTTGGTAAAATTTATGTTCTTCTGTACTGAGTCAACGGACAAAGGTCAATTCTTTTGTAAAAAGAAATAATTCACAGACAGAACTTGAAAAATTACCTCCCATTAGGATTCCCTGCACTTGTTTAAAGATGCTATTGTTAAATTGAATAAAATTATTGAAAAGCACGCTGGAGAGGAAAAGTTGCCATTTTTCATTGCTAATAATGGTAGAAATTTGCGGAAATAATCTGGAAGA